AGAAATCATATTCAAGATAATTTTGTTATTAAGAATTTGCTTCTACTACTATGTGTATTTCATTTGATATTTGAGCCAAGTGACAATCTTACTATGAGATAAATTTTAAGAGTGTGTTTTATAAATTCATGATATAGATTCAAGACTTACAGCAAATGGTGTAGGGTTTCCTGCCCGAGCAGGGGGTTGGACTAGATGACCTCCAAGGTCCCTTCCAACTTTACTACTATTATTATTATCTCTATATTTATTTTTGTTTCGTTAATCACATACTCATTTCTAAAGGAGAATTATAGCTATTTAATGTATGCTCTTCATATATTATTGATTTTTTTTCCCCAATGTATTAGCATTTTTACTAATCACATTTTGGCCTTTCCCTGCTCTGAGAAGCTCAAGGTAGCTGGGCTTTTCTTAGTTTGCCCATAAATTTAACCCTATGACATAATATTTTGGTCTGAGGGAATGTGAAAATGCATCTTCTGCACATCTGATCTTAAGAGTCAAAACTACAGGTAGTCCTCAGCTTATGCCATTTTGTTTAGCAACTGTTCAAGGTTACGATGCAATCTGAAAAAAAAAAGTACTTAGAATTATGACTGTTGCAACATACTTGCTGTTTCATGATCAAAATTTGGGCACTTGGCAATCAGCATGTATTTAAAAATGAACCCAGCATTTTGGGGTCAAATGATCACTATTTGTGGCTTTCCCCGCCAGCTTCTAACAAACAAAGTTAAAGGGAGATACATGATCACATGATTCACTTAACAACCAGAGCAAAAGAGATAAAGTTGGATGCAACTCACTTAATGACCACCTCATTTAGCAATAGAGATTCTGGTCCCCATTGTGGTCGTATGTTGAGGACTACTGTAACTGGTTGGCTCTTGATAATGTGGAATATAATTACAAAACAAATCCAATTTCAAGTAAACAAAACAGCTTATGCCTAATTAGATAAGTTGAACAGCAATAGAAAATGTAAAGTAGGATTTACAGTATTATAATCATTTAAACTGTTGCAGTAACTGAAGTAGAGCCATTCTCTTATAGCTTTGTTTAACTTGGCACAGCCCAAATTTCTTCCTAAGCAGTCAAGAGAGATCAGTGTGGTTCTGTCAAATTCATGCCTTCTTCTAATTATGATAGGAATCAGTTCAGTAAATAAACAGTGAAAAGTAATTGTCTTTTGAGAGATTTCTCTTTTTCCCCACACTTTATAAGAGTTACCACCACTATAGCATTAAGAAGGGAGCCAAGAAACTCATTATGCACTTCATATATGCTGACCTGTAATTGTACAACATTGTATTGTTCCTTAATGTTATAATAAATTGGTTATTTAGCTAGGGAAAGTGTCAATACAAATTGAATTATATGTTGTTTTGCATGAATATGGAATTTAAGGTTGGCCTGCTGAATGTGATGATATGATGAAAATAAAGCATGTGTAAAGAATAATAAATATTTGAACAATGCAATAAAAATTGGTATGCCCCCAAGGTTGTTTAATATGTTTATACATATATGATTAAGGAATGCTTGTGGTTACATGAGGAGTGATTTGTTTGGAAGCATGAATGTTCATGATATATGCAGGAATGTAATCAGGGAACCTAAATGAGGTAATAAGAAATATGTTTCTGAAAATGTATCAGACAAAAGTAATTATATTAGTGGAAACTGAAGTGAGCGATTGCAAATTATGCATAAATAAAATTAGACCAAAATACCTTGATGTTTTCTAGCATCCAATTTGATGCAGTGGTTGAGGTGCAGCTCTAGAAACCAAGAGACCATGAGTTCTAATCTTATCTTAGGCATGAAAGCTAATGGGTGACTTTGGGCCAGTCACTGTCTTTTGGTCCAATCCATCTCACAGGTTGTTGTTATGAAGGAAATAGGAGAAGAAAGGAATAGTAGGTATGCTTTGTATTACTTGTAAAGTAATAGAGGCAATTAAAAAAGTAATAATATGAAAAAGGGAGTGATTGATACAAAAGAGATTGAAATGATTTGATAATATAAAGAGAATGAATAAGGACTGAAACACGAAAAATAAATATGAAAGAAGAATGCATCTCTAGGGAGGAAAGATAGACTAAAAAAGCTGTGGTTGAAAGAGTTGATAACATCCTCAAAAGAAATTAAAAGTATAAAGAATAAAAGGCTATGTATGAATTGATAGCGGAAGCAAGGATTGTTTGCAAGGAAGAAAGTTACCGTGTGAAAATCGGTGTGGAAATATATAGCTATAAACTAGTTTAAATTTCCTTTTCTCTGTATTTAATTTCTTTGGCCTTTTAATACACAATAGCATAATGAAACAGAATAGCATGATGAATAGGTATGCATGAATACGTATGTGCTTAAGAATGGAACAGAGCACAAAGGAGGATATGATCCCTTTACAGACCACATTTAGCAGCTGGTAACATCCTTATTACATCATCCCATTGTGATGCTGACTCATGTTTTATAAATAGAACATTTTCTTGAAAAGTTACCATGTTAGTTGCAAATTACTTATTGATGAATCTAAAATTTAAACAATTCTTCAGTAATTCTAGTTACATCTTTATTGCACATGCAGAAAAATTCTGAAGTGATGTTACTTTATAGAAGACAGCTAACTCAGTTTTAAACTGTTTAACATGTACATGAGGCTGCTGGGTAAGGTCATCTGATGGTGTATGGGGAGGTATCACTAGTATGCTGATGATACTCAGCTTTACCTCTCCACTCCAAGCCACCTGAATTATGCCATTGATGTCCTATCCCAGTGCCTGGAGGCTGTGGGGGCCTAGATGGGGCGCAACAAGCTTTGGTTCAATCAAAGCAAGACTGAGTAGTGTCTGGTGTTTGGAACTTCTGGCACTGGGAGTTTCCATCTTTGGCTTTGGATGGAGTGGCACTGCCTCAGATAGAACTAGTATGCAATCTGGAGGGCCTTTGCACACTTTGGGGTTGCACACCAATTATGCCCTTTCTGGTCCAGGAGGCCTTTCTCGCTGTCACTCATGCTCTTGTGATCTCACATCTGGATTAATGAAATGCTTTGTACTTGGGAGTGCCCTTGAAGAGCTTTCAGGAACTTCGGCTGATGCAGAAAGTTGCAGCATGGTGTCAATAAGCCAATGGAAATCAGTGGGGCCAGTTATTTGGTACACGTAAACCAGTATTTTGTGAGCTGCGTTGGTTGTCAGGTGCTTCTGTGTACAATTCAACGTACTGGTTGCACTTTTAAAGCCCTTCATGGCTTGACACTGGGTTACCTGAAGGACACTTTCTTTTCAGTTGTTTCTGTCTGTCCGATCCAGTAGGACGGGTATGCTTCAGGAATGCAAGTTGGTAGTGTCCAGGAGGTTTAGGCACCTGCCCTGTGGAACATTCTCCCTTCAGAGATTAGGATGGGCTTGACTCTGCTAATCTTTGGGAGGGCAATAAAGGCCTGGTTCTGTGTACAGACCTGGACCCTGACTAGGTGAAAGGGCCTATTTTCCAGCTGTATTAGTGGCTATTGATTTTAATACCTTCCTCAGTTGCTATGTATTTCAATTTTTGCATTTGGAGTTTTCATTGTTTTTAATTTTAGTTTAATGTTATTTACCACTCAGAATCACTTTTTGAGATGACTGGCATGTTTATCTCTTATCTCTTTCCATGAATTTCGAATTTTAGAAAAAAATTGTTGTTAGCAGATGCAATACATTAAAAGCAGTGATTTCATCTTTCATGCATACAAGAACCTCTGTCTATGTGTGCCTCAGTGGTAGAGCAGGTTTGGTCTGCAAATAGGAAAAGCTGTCTATCCGAAAGTATAAGTGCATATAATTAACGTACTGATGATACTGTGTCCCATGCTGTCAAAAGACATTGTCCAGTGATTTCATGTAGATGTTAAAGAGGAGAGGCAAGAAACCCAAGCCCTGAGGCACCCTGAATTTCACCTGCCTAGGGCATGACCTCCCTCCTGCCCCCATACCAACAGGGAACAGACTCATAGAAAGGAGGAGAATCTCTGCAAAACTCTCTTCCCCAGAGATGGTTCAGAAGAGTTGCCATGGTCAATTGTATGGAAAGCCGCTGAGAGATCCAAGACACCCAGGAATTATCTTAGCAAACAATCCTGCATGGATTGTGTATTGTAATAATTTTGACAAAAAAATGGCAGTTAGTAATTAAGATGTAGATTTAGTGTTTGCAATAAACCAGTGTTTCCCAAACTTGACAATTTTAAAGCATGTGGACTTCAACTCCCAGAATTCCACAGCCAGCGTTGCTGGCTGTGGAATTCTGGGAGTTGAAGTCCTCATGCCTTAAAATTGTCAAGTTTGGGAAACACTGCAATAAACAGTTAGAAAACATTTGTAGCCAATATGCATAGCTAGCATGGAAATGCCAGACAGTCTTCAAACAAATAGGAAAAGAGGTTTGCTGCCCAACGTTTCCATATTTATTTAAGTCAGATCATAGAAATACAACCTCAAAATCAGAGTTGAATTTAAAGTAGAATATTCCATGCATACTTTTAAATAGAGACATTTTTAAAAATTATTGCTAGTTACTTGATGTTATTTCCCATTCCATTTCACTGTAGTACATAGTAATATATCTTCAAAATTTCTATACAGTATTTTTTCTTCCGAATTAATACTATGAATCATGGTCCCTAATTTTAAGAACTAGCCACCCAAAATTTAATATAATTATGCTAGTAAAAACATTATATTTTTAGCATTCAGAGAAATGTCATGTTTTAATTCTCTTGCTAGACTAAACTTAAGCAGTAAGATTGTTTGTATATTAAAACAATGATATGTTTTCTTATTATTTTCCTGCTATAAATGTTTGTGACATGACACTGTGGCTGAAACTAAGATAATGGCATCCCACTTGCTTCTTGGATGTGATTTAAAACTATATCATCCAAATCTTAACTCAGTATTCCGATCAATGGAAGTGTTTAATTTTATCTCCAATTTTATTAACTACAGGTTTACAAAGAATCTCTCCCCTGATAAAATCAACTTGAGCACCCTCAAAGGGCAGGGACAGTTGACTAATCTAGAACTGGATGAAGAGGTTCTGCAGAATTTGCTGGATCTGCCCACCTGGCTAGCCATTACTCGAGTTTTTTGCAATAAGGCCTCCATTAGGGTAAGCCAAAATTCCCATAACTATTAATATAGTATTTAGTATTTTCCTGTCTTAATCATTTTTCTGATTTTTTACTTGGATGTAAAAGTTGCTTGACTTTTTCTATAAATCTTCCCATATAAGTACTTTTGAAATCTGCTATAGCAGCAGTCCCCAACCTTTCCAGATTGGCGGCCCACTGCGGGTGTGTGTGAGAGGGGATGGTTTCGTGTGAGTGGTAGGCATGTGCACAGTTCTATTTGCGCTCATGTGAGGGGAGGTTCGCGTGTATGCACTCACCTGCCCCTTGCCCAGCCCGATTCTGAACAGACTGTGCCTGGTAGTAGGCCACAGTCCAGGCGATGGGGCCCCTGTGCTATAGCAACTGGCAAAAAAACATCAAGTTCTGAATTCCAGATGCTTCAGAAATTATAGCATAAGCAGTCTGATTACATTTAGTTTTAAATGATTGCCAGTTTGCTGTTAGGCTTCACATCTGACACTTGCTTTCATGCATAATTGGAGAGATTATATTTTGTGTCATGCTTGTACATTAATATAAAGAACACAGTGTTCTCTTCTTGAAAAAATTGCTGTAGGCTTCTTCTGGAATGAAATTAATTTTTCAGTTGATGTAAGCAAGTAATCATTTAAGCACCATTAGGATTTGGTGTTAAGGGCAGAAGCTTCATGAAAAATGAATTGAAAGATTTATTAATAAAAAAGTATAGCTCTGATCTTTTTCTGTTGGAGTAGCAAAATTAGGTCTGCCTGCTACATTTTCTTGAATGAGGATTAATAATTGAAACATTTTAGGAAAAAAATGTATTTGTAACATCAGAATTATCTACTCAGTTTAATACATGCACAGATAAACTATGAAAAAACTGGGTAATGAAGAAACTGGATTTTGTGTATATATTTTTCTTTGTTTAGCCTCTCTAATTGTGTGTGTGTCTTATATGCATTCTTTCCTGACATAATGTCAATATACTTGCTGATAAATTAATATAGGTTATAGCCTTTGTTTACAGAGCTAAGTTCAAACAAGTTTGAACATGATTATGCTCCATATTTAAGGGCATGTAAAAATTTCTTATGCAGTGAACTCAGGACCCAACTTTTAGTAAGTATAGGAAAGATGTATATGATAGTTCTATTTTCAAAAGCACGCTAATGTGATTTCATTTTGCATAAGTCAGACATTCTCAGACTGTAATACTGTGATCCTCATAATGAGATCAAAAATATTTTATATGTTTCTGTTTCCAGAAGTCTGATGTCTGAGAAACAAACAACATTATGATTGCAACAAAATATATTTTATGTTCTCTGCTATCTTTATTTTCTTGTTATTATATAAACCAGTGACAAACAATATAAAACAACCCTGCAAGTTTGGCCTATATGACCATATGCTATTTACCTGGAAATTAATTGCATTTATTTATTAATATTTTCTTCCAAAATTATCTTGTGCTTGGTTAGAAGACGACTAGCAACTGCATTTTAATAAGCAATGGAACTATACTATATGTACTGAAAAAAGGGAAGAACAGGATAAAAGTTAGCTTCACTAGCTTTAAAATGTTATTCTCTAATTGGAGTTTTAGTGCCTAGCAAGCTTTTAAAGCAGTGGTTCCCAATCTTATTGGCACCATGGACGTTTTTGTGGAAGACAATTTTTCCACAGACCGTGGGAGGGAGGGTGGGTTTGCTTGCTCATCTACTGCTCACCTCCAGCTGTGCTGCCTGCTCACCTGCTAACAGGCCCGGAGGAAGGGGGGAGGTTGTGGACCCCTGTTGTAAAGAATAATGTTTTGTGAACTTCACGATAATTCATTACACATCCAGTGTTTTGTAAAATTCTTAATAACACATTCTAACGTTTGACTTAGGCTTTTAGTTTTTAAGACCATTATCAATTTTTATCAAACATTTATTTGCACTTTCATTAATACTGAGAAGTGGGTGATTAATTTGTGCCCTTTCACTACTGTATGTTAGTGGGTCAGTTACTCCTCTGAGTAGAATTCTGATAGGATAAATCTTTAGAGGCAGGCTAGAACAGTGGTTCTCAACCTTTCTAATGCCGCGACCCCATAATACAGTTCCCCATGTTGTGGTGACCCCCAACCACTTATACATCACTGGGTGCCAGGGGCGTGGCCAAAGAAAAGGGGGAAAAATGGCGGACAGCCTTGTTTGGCGACCCCCATGAAATGGTCATTCGACCCCAAATGGAGTCCCGACCCACAGGTTGAGAACCACTGGGCTAGAAAGAAAGACTGCTTGAGGAAGGAGAAAGATTTTTCACTTTCCACACCTGCTTACTTTTCTCTGGTGGCAATAGTATTCCCTAAGCAATCTCTTATTTGCTGATCAAGCAGCCATAATAATAGATTTTACTAACTGTATGTGTATTGTTGTGTTGACAGAGGCCACAGGTATTTTATATAATACGTTACTTTGAATATCTCCCTAGAGCAGTTCACTCCTAAGTCCTTATGATTTGAACATAACGAATTAGGTGTTCTAAATTGTGAATTTATAGGGTAGCAGTTCACCTAAATTCACCTAACTCAATCTATTTTCTGAAGTGACTGCATCATTTTCCCTAATAGAAGGGCTGATATTGGTGATACTTTTTCAAGAGCAGAAATGTTTTAATTAACGTAACCTATAAATAACACTATTTTTGTCTTAAATACACATTTGACAAAGGACATCAAAGTTCACAGCACAAAATATTACTTTATTTCCTTTAGCAGATTAGCATTTGTATGCAGAGTATTTAATAAGGAATGGTTTTGTTTTTAATGAGTGTGTATTTCCATGCAGCAAATTTTGTCATGCTACTTTTCAGAGCATATATTTGCTAGAACTGATCTTTTTAGTACCACCCTAAACCTATTTAGTCCTTTCAGCATTTCCTGTTTATTTAACATTAATTCTGTTGTTTCAGATCCAGTGGACTAAGTTGAAGACTCATCCAATCTGTCTGGTAATGCCTTGTTTATCTCCTGTTTATCTATTAGTAAGAATTTGTAATCTATGTCTTTAAAAAGCATTAATTTTTAAACCTAAAAATAAGGTGGATATTACTGTTATTGGTCTCCATATTCATATCTGTTATAGTTGTAAGCATAGTTCTGTGTAATTTCTGTGATGAACATATAAATATTGGAAATAATTAAGCTAGTTGTAAAATTCATTGATCTTTCTCTTAGTTTTCAGCATTATTGGGTTTGTAAGTCTTTTTCATAAGAACCCAGTTTTGGATGGATACCTTACCATGTAAAAATGTGAATTGATAGCATTTTACATTTATTACTCTGCTACATCTTTTCCATTATTAAGCTACATCTGATATTGTATATATGAGTAGACTCACTATATACTCAGCATGGGAATGAATTTGAAAAATGTTTGAAAGAAAATTAGCCAAACACTTTGGGTTGATTAAAAGTTCAGAGTTAGAATAAAGTTCTTCTTTATATATTTTATAATTAATCTGCAGTTCATTACCTCAAATATGGTAATGATTGCTAAATTAGATGACTTCAAAAGAAGATTAGATGAATTAATAGAGGTCTAATGAGGGCTATTCATACTTAAAATGTAATGATACATAGTTGGATTGGAGACTGTGTCTCAGAATACAGATTGCAAGGCAACAGTGACAAGAGACATGTGTCTTAGTCTCCTGATTGTGAGCAAGCCAGAGAAACCTGCTTATCTGCTGTGAGAAACAAAATGCTGAACTAAGATGAGACTTGGCCTGATTCAGCAAAGCTATTTTTATGTTACTAATGACATAATTTAAAGGCCCTTCTTTTTTCAGGTCCCATATGTCAGTCTTTGTCATTGCTTTAGTTGGGAGTGATTTTGAGGATGTAAAACTTAGTTGGCTTCTAATTTATGCTAGATGTTTTTGAATAATAACAGTAGTGATATTTATTAGTGTGGGGGATAGTGTGTAAATTTCTAAATAGAAATAGCATGTTGAAAACTGCACCATGTGAAACAGTTCTAAATAGCTTGAAACTAGTAGCAAAAAGGTGAGATTACTGTACACGATATTACTTTTACCCATTCTAAGCCAGATTAGCATTGTTTATTGCTAATATAAATTGGTAGTTTTACACATCAAAATCAGCCAAAAATAAAAATCACATTCTGGGTTAGGGTTGGCAAATTGGTTTGTTGAACAACTGAATTGTGTTATGCATAGAAGTGAACTTAGTCATTTTGACAAATTCCTAATTGGTTTGTTTGATGGTTTTCGTTGTAACTTTATTACTATGTTTTGCATCTTTGTGGATTCATAGAAGTTACATTAAGGCAGAAAAGCAAACCAAAAATGGAGTAGGAACTTACATATAGTTCTGTTCACACATCATGCCAAGCTAAACCACAGTCTAGTCAGTAGCCAATCCCAAAATATTTATTCCATTTATAGGCTTGGCTAAGAAAAACAAACTTTGTTACTATTAGTATGATGTGTAACCCGGTGACTAGATTAGGAAAGAATTCTTATTGTTTAACCCTCTAGTATTTTTTAATTTTACCTTATTTTCTCCTAGCTCCTTCCATGTACTTTCATACCACTTCTCCATGTTTTTCTCTTTGTTGTTTCAAAGTATTTGGATAAAGTTGAAGTGGAGATGCGAACATGTGAAGAGCCCAGGCCACCCAACGGACAGTCTCCCATTGCTGTTGCTTCAGGACAGAGGTTAAATCTGCTTCTTGTTTTTTCTTAGTGTGCTTTTTGATGCAGTCTTTGCTTTTTTAGTTCAAATGGTACTGTGATGCAGTGGTGTCTGTAGCAGGTTTTTAACAGATTTAAAAATGGCAGGTGCAACCAGGCAATCAAAAGCTCATCTTTTTTAAACACGTTTCAAACATAAAATAGGATGAACTTTGATTGCCTTGTTATTCATGTTAATTTGAAGCCTATAGGTATCATGCAGATTCCCCCTTCAAGTTTTTTTCTTGATATCTTCCTCTTATAGCCACTCTCATATTTTTCTAATAAGGTGCAACTAACAGCAGCATCTCTTAGAGCTAATCTATATGGAACCCCCATTATAAAATTACCCCAGATTAATTTTCCCAGATGTTGGATGGGTACTAAAAAAAAATTTGTTGTTTTTTTTTTTGTTTGTTTGTTTTGAGGTGCTGAAGAAGAAAGATGTAAAAGAAAGCATTCTCTTATATGACTCTGAAGTTGTCTTTTTGAAAAGAAAAATAAGATACATAGGATATGTTGCAGCTGTCCTTTGGGACTATATCACATTGTCATTTTGGGACCAATATTTAACAGAAACTGTGCAACATATAATATGCTTTGTGTTTGCTTGAAGCATTGATTATAGCAAAGAAAACTTTTTAAAAACAATCCATATGGTTCTTGCCCTCTTTTGTTATCAGCTTTATGGGGCAAGCAAGGTTTATTTGTTTGTAGATGTATGAAGATATTTAATATTCTGTTTAATATTTTTAATGATAAAATAATGAAAGAGAACAATCTAGCTATCTGTCCTGACCTAGAAAAAACATAACTTTGCATAAGGCTAACACCTTTCAGTGTTACATACTTTAATGGTTAAGATGAGCTAAAGCATTGTACTCTATTAAAAATTATTTCCTCCTCTACAGTGAATATGGGTTTGCAGAGAAGGTCGTGGAAGGCATGTACATTACTGTCAATTCAATTACCATCAAGATACACTCCAAGGCCTTCCATGCATCATTTGAGTTATGGCAGCTTCAAGGATATAGTGTCAACCCGACCTGGCAGCAAAGTGATCTTCGCTTTACCCGAATCACCGATTCACATAAGGGAGAGGTAGGTCCATAAACAGGTGTCCTTACATTTGGAATGCTTTCTGTAGACTTGCAAAGATTTTAACATTTGGTTCCCTTTTTCGTTGCCCTGCACATCTTTTTGATTACTGTAGTTTGCCACAACCATTTTGAAATAAACTAAGTTGCTTGTAATTTTTTGTTCTTTTTTAAATTGTCTGTTTCCTAATCTATAATTTGCAACACTACATCAGACACTTTTAGGAACTTTTAAAAAAAAATTGTACCCTTTGCTTCCCTCCGGGTAGGTTTTAACATTTAAAGAACTCACCTGGCAGACTCTTCGAATAGAAGCTGATGCTACAGAAAATGGAGAACAAGATCCCCTCACTACCCCTCTAAGACTTATTACTAACCAGGGCAAAATCCAAATATCGCTTAAGAGAAAGGTGAGTATATATATATTGCTGAAAAGTATTATTGAATAGAATGATTGATAGAACTAGAATTCAGATACTTTGCATAATACCTTTTGATGTGAACAATAAGAATTCCCAGCCCACCCAGAATGGAATACATCTTCCCACAGCTTCTCTGAAGTTTGGAAAACAGAAAGACCTATGGATTTTTTTAAAAAAACAAAAAACATGTACATTTGAATAATACATTCCAGCTGCAAAATGTGGCGCTCCCAGTTGCATAAGTTACAATTATTTTTATAAATGAAGAATTTCAGATCCTTGATTTTTAGTAAAAAAAAAAAAAAAAATAGATGTGATACACGTTATACAGGTAGAGCCCTCAATTATGGTTGTAAATTGTGATGGTCATTAAATAGATGATCATGTGATTGCACTCAGTTTTATGATCTTTTTTGTGGTGGTTAGGCAAATGGTGGTGATTAAGTGAATTATTCACTACGGGAAATTTTTTTGCTGAAGACCAGAAGTAAATATCAATTTCAGGCAAAAAGTTGAAAATTGTGGTCAGTGCAAACAGCTGTAAATGCAGACTGGTTGCTGAGTACCAAAAATGTCATGTGACTGCGGGGCAGGGGAGGGGAGGCAGACATTGAAACTTCAAATCTGGATTGTAATTTTTACAGTCTGTCATAACTTCAAACTATCACTAAGGACTGTGTTGTTGAAAAAAGGGTCTGAATAGAAACTTGATAAACTATAGGTTTTTAAAAAGTTGTTAAAGGGTTGAGAGGAATGCTTCCGTTAAATGCTTAGGATATAGTGGTAGTCTTCCAAGTAATTTGAAGTATAACTTCTTACCTGGCCTCAGTTCATATTTACAGCCACTCTGATCAATTTTTCTTGATTTCCCAGACTTTTTTCAGCAACAGTATATATCAAGCATCTTTAAAAAAAATTGTATTATTAACTCACATTATAAGGGAAGCAAGTTTATTCTATAAATACATGTTGAAAATCATACAAAGCATCTTGTTTAAAGTACTATCAAATAAAGATTGTTCCTTTCTTTTTCAGATAAAAGTGATACATTTTCTTGTGTTCAGAGATTATTTAGGAATTAGGAATTAGTCCATTTGCTAACTTATGGAAAAAATAATTTAAAAATGTCACCCACTGAAGCTGCTTATTCTTGGGAATAAATAAAAATCTTTTCAGACAGCGTGCTGATCTTTTTCTGTTTATGAGCCAGACAAAGGATTGCAATGTGGTGGCATCTAAGCTCATGTTCCTTCTTGATGACTTGTTGTGGGTACTAACTGACTCCCAGCTTAAGGCAATGATGAAATATGCAGAGTCCTTGAGTGAAGCCATGGAGAAATCAGCTCAGCAGAGAAAAAGTTTGGCTCCTGAACCTGTCCAAGTAAGCATCTTTAACACATGTAGTTTTTAAGATATGCTCTCTCTCTCTCTCTCCCTCCCTCCCTCCCTCCCTCCCTCCCTCCCTCCCTCTCTTGTTTATTACATTTATGTCTCACTATAAGAAGAATTGACTCCTGATAGTTTACACAATACAGTATAGCAAAATTAAACTTATATTTTAAAAGTTAAACAAATCTTTAAAACAAACAGCTACTCTTCCCATCCACTTAATCAGTAAGAAATATAAAGATGACTGAGTCTTAACTAGAATCCTTCTCAGAACAGCTTGGTCTTCAGCATCTTCCTGAATGTGTCATGGACAGGCCAGATTGCACTCTAATAGAAGGCTATTCCAGAGAACTGGTGCTGCTACTAAAAGGCAACAAGACCTGACCTTGGCTCCTTTTACTTCCCAAAAGTGGGAGGTTAAAAATAGCTTCTTCTGGGATGATTTAATAGGTAGGACCAATTTTGATTGGAGTAAGCAAATCTTTAGATTTGCAGGTGCCAAACCACAAAGAACTTTATAGCTGACAAAGTTTTAATTTGCCAAAATAGCAGAAGCACGTGCTGTTCCATAGACATTTAGGATTGGATCTAAATTGGATATTACGTGACCATGGGGCATACTAGGATTAAAAAACTTATTAGCAAGAGGGGAACAAACAGTAATATTGTTTTCTCTTCCTCCAATAGTTTACCATGTTGCTTCTCACAAGATTACATAGTAAACTGTACAAGTTAAAGACCACTTGTTCAGTCACCATTAAAGTTTCAATGGCAGTGAATGAGTGATACTTACAAGGTCCTTGCAGTTCCTGCTGTCGTAGTGCCCCAAGGTGACATGATTGAGATTTAGGCACTTGGCAACTGGTGCACATTTGTGGCACTTGCAGCCTCCCATGGTCATACAATCTTCGAATTCTGGGAAGAATATAAATCAGCTGTTTATTGTTAAAAAATTTAAAAACAATAAAAGCAACTATTTACAATACTAAAACAAACTTAGCTTTTGCTGATCCACTGTCAGCATCTTCAGAGTGAAGTGGTGGGGGTGGAGAGAACTCTTATAAGCCTTGATAATCTAGTTTCTTACTCGTTGACCATGTGATAGGGCCATTCGTCCTGACTGACCGTAATTGCTTTAACTGTCCCGCCTCCCCTTGTTTGTACTCCAGTTCCACAACTTCTCTCCCTCCCCTCCTTGTCCATCTTCTCCTTCCTGGTGTTGTTGCCGTTGATGTGCCTTCTAGCCACTCCCCCACACTCACTTTAGGCCTCGGGTCCGGATCCAGTATCCCAGATGCCCTTTCACTGCTGTTCCCCTTTCTTCCATTCCATTTATCTGCCTGTTGCTCCTGTCTTCCACTGTTTGTCATCATGAATCCTATTTTCCCCAGTTTCCCCTCATGTCTGAGTGTGTGTGCATGCAGCCCTGCCCCGTCCTTCCGTCCCATCTGTCTGCAATCAGCTGGGCTGCCTGCCGGCTCATTCCTGAATTCACTCCCTCTCATCCTTGCCAATCCTGTCCTTGCATCCATTGGCTGTCTCCCCGCAGTCATTCTGGGCTGGGCACTCAGAATTGGCACTGTCAGGGCTCCTCCACTGTTGTCCCCCCTCTCTTTCTTACCCTGCTGATCCATCCGCTTTTCTTGCCTTCTACTATCTGTCCCTATGGGCCTAATTTTCTCCGATCTTTCTCCGTGCTTGGGTGTGCGCACACACAACCGCACCCTATCCTCCTGCCTAATCTGCCTGTGCTCAATATATATATAAATAAAACAATCACCAAGCATGGTTACAAATCTTCCAGTGCCTGACTAGAAAACCATATCTTTTCAATATTAGATAAATAAAGAACCCGGCAATTACCTTACAATGAAAAAGACTTTTGTGGAAGGCATAGAGACAAATCATCAGGGAAGTATAGAGTACTGGATATAGTTGTTTTTATTTTCTCATTAGTAAGCTGCTTAAATGTGGGTGAACAGTATTAGGTGTTAGGTTTCACACCTGATTGGAGAACCATACTCAAGAATTCAGTATTCATTAATGGTTGCTCATCTAGGGCAGGGTCAAGTGAGATGCAAGAATCATCCCTGCATACTGTTTTCCTCAACATTTTTATTAATGACTAGAAAGAGGAAGGGGGGAATAGATGCATATTAGCAGATAATTCAAAATCAAGCTGCATCTGGAGGGCTACACATTTTAAAGTCTTAGCCTTTGAGGCTGGGTGATTGACTGGAGGTGAGGGACAGTGATTCTTTCATTCATATTTCCTTGGCTTCAATCATGATCTCAATGATTGTTACCCTGTGGTAAGATGGCAGACAATAAATTATAAATAAATAAACAAATAAATAAATGCTCATTTTCCAATGTGGGTTAATCCCATTCACTATATTTTCTATATTGTAATTTGGGAAACAGGTGTAATGTCCTCTCTTCCCCTTCCCCCTATTGCCTCTGCAAAAATAACAACAATAACAATAACAGTCTTTAGCAATTATCCCAAGATCCCTATTTTCCTGTCTGCCTTTTTGTTTACTAATATTCATTCAGGGATTTAAATATGAAGTATTGCCTTAAATTAATGCATTCCAAAGCCTTTTTTTTCCTGTTTCCATAGGATGATTTGAGGTCTGTTGATACTATGTCATTTCCATTGTTCCTCTTGGGTTCTTTATAGGTAATTAAAACTTATTTTTCCTGCATTACAGACTACACCTCCTATTCCCAGTACCCAACAGACTTGGCCCCAGTCATTCGGCAGCACCCATAAAGCAATCAGCCAGTATTTTGAGTTGTATGATATGAAAGAGTCTTCCTATCACCTTCTTATTTCCCGTCTGGACCTTCACATCTGTGATGATAGCCACACTCGAGAAACAGGTAGCTTTACGTGGGTTGAAATTGGGAGAGCAGTATGACTGGTGAGGATTTTTTTTCCCTAGTGATAGGGGCAGACATTGTAAGCAGGTGTTTCAGCTTGGTTCCTCTTTCTTCCTCATTCCAGCTTTTTTATAAAATCGTTTCAGTAGCAAGAACTCTTATTTTGAGCTCATGGACACACATGGAATGTTAGGTACAGTTACAATAAGGATGCTGTGGGGAATTCTATATTCACAGATGAAATGGTTAACTAGTGAAATGGCTCCCCACCATGTCTTCCTGCCCCCCCCCTCCCATATAATGTCTTCTTCCTTTTTATCTTTATTTTTGGGGTACAGATGTTTCTTCCTAAAAATACTAGGCAGCAGCAACATTCCCCATTTTTCTAATGGAGCCTAAATAGCTATGGCCTATATTGGAAATAAAAGTAATATTAAAGGCTGATGCTTTTTAACACAATAGCTTCATATTTGTTTGTTTGTTAAAAGAATGTTAGAAAAAGTAATGTAGATAGGGAGACATGCAAGCATCAAGGAAGGTTGCTATAAATATCTTGATGCTTATGGGCATCATTCAGCTTAGTTATCTAATTATATCTGCCCTGATCTAATTTTCAAATTATAAAGTTTGATAATAGAATCATGCTATATGGCAATATGGAGACATTTTGGAGAATCTAATGAAAATATTTTTAAAACAAAAATCTCAGTAAAAATAGATGTTGAGGGATTTATATAGTTGACATCATTTTTAAAAAATATTCCAAAAGGTGAGACCTAATTCATTTTTATTAAAACAATGCATATTATTCAGAATGTTGCATTTTGGAATACCAATTCATATTCTATTTGTGTAAACTAGGCATATAGCAACCAAGGTAGGTCTAATTTTGTTCCATTTTACTACAGGTGCTTCCAACCATGGTATAATGGGAGGTGCAATGCAATTAACTTTTAGGAGGATGGGCTTCGACTATTATCCTTTCCACTGGGCAGGTATGTTGCAAAATTAGTGAGATTTTCCATAAGCTCCAGTATTCTATTACCAGCAAGTGAAATGAGTGTGGCAGGAGGAAAAATGCAGGGGATACTGTTAGCTTTTGTCTGAATTTGCTGCAATGGAGATATTCTGAAGAGCTGAATATATAGCCCATTCCTGAAGAAGAAGCAATAGAATGCCCAGCTATCAATGACACTTAAATTTAAATACAATCATATAATTGTGATCGGAGAAAAAATAAGGAATTATGTCATTAAAGGTGGACAGATAAGATTTCCTTTAATAAAGAAGACATCAAGGGAAGTCAACATTATTGAGCATAAGTAACAAATATTCATATGAGTAACAAATATTCATATGCTGTGTACAAATTCCATTAGATATAGGAATAGTTTTAAGAATGTGGTTTCGAATTAAATGGGAAAATTTGTTAAGCGACAATGGAAAACAGACAATTATCTCTTAATAAATTTTCAATAGGAAAATTAACTGTACAGTTAACAACAATAAATCCTTTTAACTTGGTTGATCAGAGAGAAGTGGTCCAAATTAGAAGTGAGTTTCTTCAAAAATGAAATGAGCTATGGCAGAATTATTGTCATTTTGTCAATTTAAACTCCCTATTTTTTCCCCAGGAGATAGCTGCAGACATTGGGTGCGATATTGCGATGCCATGGAGACCTGGGTACATTGGGCAAAAAAACTAGTGAATGAATTCCAAAACAAGATGGGAAAATATAGTGAAGAAATAAGTTCTGCCTGCTTTAAAACTGGAGAGAAGGAATCTCCCTTGAAAAAGAGACAAGGTAACTCCTTATCAAGGTTTTGCGGTTGCGGATAGCTGGGAGCAGCTTTCAGAGTAAACATGCAAGGTTTAGCAACGGCATGTCTTTGTTAACCATTCAAAAGTTCTTCATATGTGCTCCTATATTTACCAAAGTACCTCTTTTGATTATTTTACTATTCTGTAATTTGCTCAGCCAAAACCTCATTTAACTTCCAAATACTTCTGAATAGTAATAATAATAATTATTATTATGAAGTTGGAAGGGACCTTGGAGGTCATCTAGTCCAACCTCCTTCTCTGGCAGGAAACCCTATGCCATTTTGGACAAATGGCTATCCAGTTTCTTCTTAAAAACTTCCAGTGTTGGAGCATTCACCGCTTCTGGAGGCAGGTTGTTCCACTGGTTAATTGTTCTAACTGTCCGGAAGTTTCTCCTTAGTTCTAGATTGCTTCTCTCTTTGGTTAGTTTTCACCCGTTGCTTCTTGTCCTGCCTTCAGGCGCTTTGGAAAATAGCTTGACTCCCTCTTCTTTGTGGCAGCCCCTGAGATATTGGAACACAGCTATCATGTCCCCCCTCGTCCTTCTCTTTGTTAAACTAGACATACCCAATTCCAGCAACCGTTCCTTATATGTTTTAGCCACCAGTCCCCTAATCATCTTTGTTGCTCTTCTCTGTACTCTTTCTAGAGTCTCAACATCTTTTTTACATCGTGGAGACCAAAACTGGATGCAGTATTCCAAGTGTGGCCTTACCAAGGCGTTGTAAAGTGGTATTAATACTTCACGTGATCTTGATTCTATCCCTATATTAATACAGCCTAGCACTGTGTTGGCTTTTTTTGCAGCTGCGGCCCACTGCTGGCTCATATTTAAATGACTGTCCACTAGGACTCCGAGGTCCCTCTCACAGTTACTACTATTGAGCAAGGTACCCCCTATACTATACCTGTACATTTGTTTTTTCTTGCCTAAATGTAGAACCTTACTTTTTTCACCATTGAATTTCATTTTGTTAGATAGCGCCCAGTGTTCAAATCTGTCCAGATCCTCCTGTATCCTAAGCCTGTCTTCTGGAGTGTTGGCTATTCCTGCCAGCTTGGTGTCGTTTGCAAATTTGATGAATTCCCCATTTATCCCCTCATCCAGATCGTTGATGAAGATGTTGAAGAGCATTGGGCCCAGAACAGAGCCCTGGGGCATCCCACTACACACTTCCCTCCATGTAGATGCAGTTCCATTGAGGACCACATGCTGAGTATGGCCGGTCAGCCAACTACGGATCCATCTGGTGGTGATGCTATCTAACCCACATTTTTCTATCTTACTAAGTAGTAGGTTGTGGTCTACTTTATCAAATGCCTTACTGAAGTCTAAGTAAATTATATCCACAGCATTCCTCTGGTCCACTAATTTTGTCACTTGGTCAAAGAATGCACTAAGATTTGTCCGGATGATCTGTTTTTGACAAACCCATGTTGGCTTTTAGTAATGACTTTGTTTGCCTGTAGGTGTTCACTGATTCGTTGTTTGATTATCTTTTCCAGAATCTTCCCAGGTATTGAGGTCAGGCTGATAGGTCTGTAATTTCCTGGGTCCTTTTTTTCCCCTTTTTTGAAGATGGGAACTACATCAGCTCTTTTCCAGTCCTCTGGTAGTTCCCCAGTGCTCCAGGATCTTTGAAAAATATAGTTCAGTAGTTCTGAGATCTCATCTGCCAGTTCCTTAAGAACCTTGGGGTGTAATCCATCTGGTCCTGGTGATTTGAACTTGTCTAGGCTGGACAGGTGTTCACTTACCATTTTCTTGCCTATCTTAACTTGTATTTCTATTTTGTTTTTTATGGCACTATTTTTGATAGGTTGGTCTGTTTTTTCTCTTTGTGTAAAGACAGATGCAAAAAAGGAATTAAATAGTTCTGCTTTCTCCCTGTTCCTTGTCATCTTCTTGCCACTTTCACCCATTAATGGACCAATCGTTTCCTTCACTTTTCTCTTGTTCTTTACATGCTGAAAGAAGCTTTTTTTTTGTTATTTTTGACTTTGGTTGCAAGCCTTAGTTCATTTTGAGCCTTAGCTTTCCTCACTTCATCTTTGCAGGCTCGGGCTATTTGCTGATATTCTGACTTAGTTATGTGTATATGTATAGTGAAGACAAGGCAACTTTTACTATATAAATAAACTACTGTTGAAGCATCCACATTGCATTTTGCTATTTATGTGTCTCATTAAAAAGTGAAACTTAAGAATAAGGATGGGGTATAACTTATGATACTGTGTCAAGATGTTCAATAATGCATTCACATTTGGGTTCTGTGTAACTGTACTAAAAACTAATGTCTGTCAGGAGAAAAGTAGATTTCCTAGTGTTTCAAACTGCAAATGATGCTGGTTCTACCGGTAATACTTTTAAGAGCTTATGAAAGCTAAACCCTGGAATCTACATCAGATGTGTATATTTTTATATAAATATGTGCTTTCCATTTGAAATTGTTTCACAACAAGAGCAAATGTACCACTGTCTTCTGTGTGTATTAAAGGTGGGAGGGAAGTTCTGAAGTTTTGCTGTCTATAATTGTGGGTGAGCCCAAAGATAACCTCTGCATATTAAGGTATTTTAAAATATCCTTATTCAAAAAGCAGTTTCTGCCTTCTTCTGTTATTAGTCAAGGAAAGGACATTACTAAAGAGGTAGCTATGAAAATAACTTACAAATAAGGCAAGCTGTAACTTCTGAGTCTCTGCTAGTGATTGTTTTCTAAAGTAGAATTTTCAAGCACATATATATATAACCAACAACACTGCACATAACATACATGCATACGTACATACGTACGTACATACATACATACATACATACATACATACATACATACATACATATATATATATATATATATATATATATATATATATATTCTGAGGTTTTCGCAGGTGTTTGTGTGTAGGTCTTTGGTTATTCGGGTTTTCTCCCGCGTCAAATTGGAAGTGTCGTGGCGACTTTTCGACGGAGTCCCATTCGTCATCTTCAGGCTGGTGTTTTCAGCTTCTTGCTACTAGAAGCAAGAAGCCGAAAACACCAGCCTGAAGATGACGAATGGGACTTCGTCGAAACATCGCCAAGACACTTCCAATTTTATGCGGGAGAGGAGATCGATCGCAACCCAATTGAGACACACAAAGGGGCTAGAAGAAAATTGAATGATCTGCACCCCCCACACACCTAGCAAAGAGAGTTACGCATGTGGAGGTGGGGGAATAGGAATGACCACCGTTAGAAAGAGAGGTGAAAAGATCCTATCTAGCCCCAGGGTTAATGATGGAAGTGCGCACGGTCGAGTACGGAGAGGGGATGGAAAAGAACCACATGCTGACATGAGAGATGCACTCGGAACTCAGCACGGTCAGCTGGGACCGGTTACACAATCTAGAAGCCGGATGCAGGCAATTAGAGATTGTATATAAGGCTTCTCCCAATGACTGCTTTTTTAAACCCTGGCGATGTCGGGATTACCCGACAAAAGCTAGGTTTGGTTTATTAAATATTTTTCTATTTATTCTTGGTGATCATTATTTATTCGTTTCTATAGCATATTTAAGGATTTATTTTAATGACTAAAACAGGGTCCGTGGACTGGTACTGGGCTGCAGCATGCCAGCAACCGGTCTGCACAAACAAGCAAAGCCCCATCCATGGGATGCAGGCAGCACACAAAACCACACACTCTGGTCCGTGGAAAAACCTTTCTCCACGGAACCGGTCCCTGGTGCCCAAAAAGTTGGGGATCTCTGGACTAAAAGGAAGAATTTGTTCTGATGATTATGATGTTTTTGCTTTAAGATGCTGTTTCAAGTTCTCCAAAAAGCTCTACAGAGAAAGGGTTACATCCAGCCAGCACTCCCCCTCATGCCTTGCTAGGACTCCAACGACCTGCATGGAATAGACTCCGATCCAGTTGCCTGGTTGTTCGAGTTGACGATCTGGATATTCATCAGGTAAAGTTCTAAAATTTATATAGAAAAGTGAGCATCACATAAATATGTTGCCTCATCTGTGGCTTGTTGCTATTGATGGGGGGAAATGCCACTTAAGTAAGGAATCAAGGCGTGTGGAGTTAGATGCAACAAAGCATCTTTTATTGGCATGCAAAACTAATAGTGGTCACTGGGCTTCTCTCCACACTAAGGAAAAGACAACAACCTGGTTTTGTTATCTGTCTTCTTCCCCTTCAGGGAACTTTTACTTTGACTGTTTTGCCTGATATGCACTTAAGAATCATATGTAAGAGTAGATGATTATTTATTTCAGTGATTCCAACCAATGTCATTGGTGGGATATGATGGACTAGACCAGCACAAGGGACCACTGTCATCTTTTATAAATATAATTTCATTCAATAAGATTTGTAAAAGCTTAAGTTGGTTTCTTAATTTTTTTCCCTTCAGAGCCAAATAATAAATATCTGCTTACTTTTTTCTGATTTTTAAAGAACAGGTAATTAAAAACATATGCCTGTTTATTTTTTATTTATTATTTTTTATTTATGAGACTTATATACCGCTTTAAGTGCAAGCACTCTCTAAGCGGTGTACACCAGTAAGCAATGTATATATATATATTTACATTGCCCCCAACAATCTGGGTCCTCATTTTACTTACCCTGGAAGGATGGAAGGCTGAGTCAACCTTGAGCCGGTGAGATTTGAACCGCTGACCTGCTGAACACAGTCAGCTAAAGTGGCCTGCAGTACTGCACTCTAACTGCTGCGCCACCTCGGCTCTTTTTATTATTATTTTAATTTTTTCAAGTTTGATTTTTAACTGGTATCATCACAAATATTTTATGACTTTTTGCATTTACAGTGGAGCCTGTATTTCAACTTTATAAGAAATTAGATTTGTAATATTGATCTAATTCACAACAGTTTGTAATTCTAGTCAGTGATTTATAGTGGATTAACCAGATACTCTGAGTTTAAAGCTTAATAGCAACTTTGTTTTGCCTTTAAGAAATGATATGCCATATTTTATAACTCTGTAAATAACTACAGTTATATTGAAAAACTGTTATATCAATGACATTTTAGATGCCTTGTTTACATATAGGCGGTCCTTTTTTTAACTATCACAGTTGGGAATGGCAACTTGGTTGCTAAGCAAAGTGAACTGACTCACTTTCTTTTATTTTGTAGACCTATAGTTGTAAATGTGAGGACTGGTTATAAAGTTACTTTTTTATCACTGTCATAATTGCAAATGGTTGCTAAACAAGACAGTCACTAAATAAAGGCTATCTATACTTGCATTTTGCTAATTATATTTTACTATTTTATTTTGATATAGCTCCTGTCTTTTATAGTTTATATTCTTTTTTTAAATGATTAATTAAAAAAAGAATTTCAGTAGTTGTTGTTAGATGCGAAGTCATGTCCGACCCATCGCGACCCCTGGACAACATTCCTCCAGGCTTTCTTGTCCTCTACCATCTTCTGGAGTCCATTTAAGCTCACGCCTACTGCTTCAGTGATTCCATCCAGCCACCTCATTCTCTGTCGTCCCATTCTTCTATTGCCCTCAATCTTTCCCAGTATTAGGCTCTTCTCCAGTTAGTCCTTCCTTCTCATTAGGTGGCCAAAGTACTTGAGTTTCAACTTCAGGATCTGGCCTTCTAAAGAGCAGTCAGGGTTGATCTCCTCTAGGACTGACCGGTTTGATCGCCTTGCAGTCCAGGGGACTCGCAGGAGTCTTCTCCAGCACCATAGTTCAAAGGCCTCAATTTTTTTGCGCTCAGCCTTTCTTATGGTCCAACTTTCACAGCCATACATTGCAACTGGGAAAACCATGGCCTTGACTATACGTACTTTTATTGGCAGGATGATGTCTCTGCTTTTTAGAATGCTGTCTAGATTTGCCATAGCTTTCCTCCCCAGGAGCAAGCATCTTTTAAATTTTTGGCTGCAGTCCCCATCTGTGGTGATCTTGGAGCCCAGGAAGATAAAATCTGTCACTACCTCCATTTCTTCCCATCTATTTGCCAGGAATTGAGAGAGCCGGATGCCATGATCTTGGTTTTCTTAATGTTGCGTTTCAAGCCAACTTTTGCACTCTCCTTCTTCACCCGCATCAAGAGGCTGTTAGTTCCTCTTCACTTTCTGCCATTAAAGTGGTATCATCTGCATATCTTAGGTTGTTGATATTTCTCCCGGCAATCTTAATTCCAACTTTTGATTCATCTAGCCCTGTCTTTCTCATGAGGTGCCTGCATATAAGTTAAATAGGAAGGGTGACAGAATACCGGACTCTTTTCCCAATTTTGAACCAATCAGTGGTTCCATGTCCAGTTCTCACTGCTGCTTCTTGACCTGCATATAGGTTTCTCAAGAGACAAATAAGATGGTGTGGTACTCCCATCTCTTTCAGAACTTGCCACAATTTGTTGTGATTCACACAATTAAAGACTTAAGCATAGTCAGTGAAGCAGAAGTAGATATTTTTCTGGAACTCCCTAGCTTTCTCCATGATCCAGTGTATGTTGGCAATTTGATCTCTAGTTCCTCTGCCTCTTCAAAATCCTGCCTGTACTTCTGGAAGTTCTCGATCCACATACTGCTGGAGTCTAGCTTATAGGATTTTAAACATAACTTTACTTGCATGTGAAATGAGTGCAATGGTGCGATAGTTTTGAACATTCTTACAAAACTCAAAAAAGGAAAAGGAGGGAATAAGAATCAGTTCAAACTGCTGTCTCATATTCTGCTCATTTTCCCAGGAAAACAAATTGATTACTTATAACACAAGATAATACTATTTGAACAGTACAACGAAATAGCACTTCCAACATTTTAATTTCTGGTACTTTTCTTCTTCTAAGATCTTCTAGTCCTAGATTACATATTACATATACTTAAGCATAAAACACCAAATAGTATCACAGTCATAATTCATATGTATATAACTATTTATGCTATATTTCTGTTGCTTTCCAGGTTTCTACAGCTGGACAGCAGAGTAAAAAACCTTCAACATTGCTTTCATGTAGAAGGAAATTATTGAATCTTCCTGAACATACGTCAGCAATCCATCTAGTATTCACGGAGTACTATTTTCCAGACCACACTACTTTTCCAGGTGACCATCTCAGGAATCACATTCCTCTAATCTTTTGCAAAATTTGATAAAGGTGTCAACATTACTATTTCCTTCAGTTTAACATATTTCCCTTTCATTTCAGTCACGTTTTAATGCAAGAATCCTGTAAAGATAGAATAGCAGTTGCACAGTCCTTTTATTGGAGCTCTTTACCTGGAAGCATCCTATTCTTTTTACTTCTTTGTTATAGTTTAGAACAGTGGTTCTCAACCTGTGGGTCAGGACCCCATTTGGGGTCGAACGACCATTTCACGGGGGTCACCAAACAAGGCTGTCCGCCATTTTTTCCCCTTTTCTTTGGCCACGCCCCTGGCACCTGGTGATGTATAAGTGGTTGGGGGTCACCACAACATGGGGAACTGTATTATGGGGTCGCGGCATTAGAAAGGTTGAGAACCACTGGTTTAGAAGGTGTATGCTCTGTCTCCCTGGGGATTTGGAAATTTTCCCAAAGAAGGCCTGTAGGAGGCTTGAGGCATCCCTCTAGACCAGGGGTGTCAAACTGCAGGCCCACAGGCCGGTTGCATCATATGGAGGCCACGCCTACCCCAGCTCCGGCAATACAAAAAAAGTCGTAATACATTGCAACACGTGACGCAGCGAGTTTGACACCCGCGCTCTAGACCCATTTAAGGCAATCTCCATATGTGTTGACTGCAATCCCCTGTCATCTCCAGCTAGCATGGTCAGTGGTTGATCTAAAGCATTTCAAAATTGGTTTCAAGATTGATTGCTGTTGGAGACAAGACAGTGGAACACTAACCTGTATTTTTCTTCTTTTCCCCAGTCCCATGTCCAAACTTGTACTTGCAGATGAATGGTTTGGTTTTCACTTTGGACACACGGAGCATACTTTGGGTGAATTTATTCTGCCTTGATCTCTATCGCAGTCTACAACAGTTTAAAGCTATATACAAGCTGGAGAGCTCTGGAAAAAGAGAGGAACACATTGATATTAGATTGGATGGCTTTATGTTAAAGGTTTGTTTATTTGCTTTTTGTTCTACTGTGTCTTAAATCAGGCAGACAAAAAACTCTTGAGGTTAGGAGGATGAATGAAGAAGAATTTGTTTCGGTGGAACAAACTCTTTACTCAGCTACTAGTCTGAGAGAAAGTGACCTACTGATAATTATTATTGATAATTAAGATTGATTATTTCTATGAAATTTTGTCAACTGGGGATGTCCTTTGTATCTTTGCACTCTCCTAAGTGTAATGGGTGTGCATGAGAAAGAGCAAGTACATTTCAAAGAAGACAATCTGTGAAAAGCCAGGTAGGCTTGTTTGTTTTATCCACTGACAGCTTCTACATCATCTGCAACCCCCTTTTTTGGTTCTGCATGGAGTGATAGTCTTTTAACTGGATAATTTCATACAGTCATTTTAATTGAGTTTTATTGTTACTCATTTAGGGGTAATTTTTTTTATTATTGCAATGCCATCAATGTATAACCCATATGAAAATCAGATAAAGTCAATCAAAATTATTATCCCAGTTCCTTAAGGGAAAAAAAATCAGAAGTCTGGTAGCACCTCTCCAACTAACCATTTTTGTTAAAAGGCATATGCTTTTTATGCAGTTCACATAAAACTTTGTTAGTTGAAAAAGGTGTTACCAGACTCTTTCTGATATTTTGCTAACATAGGCTAAGATGACTCTCCTCCTACAGGCTCTATTAAGTAAAATTCTCCTTGAATTAGTGCTTGCAGTACAAGTTTTTGAATAATAAAAAAGAATAGTCAAGTCTCCTAATTACGGTAAAACTGTTTAAACAGAGTATATTTCTGTAATATAGACAACAAATGTCTTGTGAGATCACATGTTAGATTTGGAAATTTTCAGTTTTGCTTACTCAAGCATAACAGAGTTCTGTGGTCTTATCACAATCTGCCAGCTTCAGTTCCCTAATTAAATAACTGGTTATCAAGATAATATGTTAGCGTTACGCTATAAGCATTTTTTAAATATACTTAAATCATATTAGTTTCATTTCTGTATTTTTACAGCTATACAGATCGTTTTTAATATTCCTTCTGTACCTCCTACAGGTAAACATCCCAGTGGACAAAAAAGTAATTGATCACCAGGACCGTCCCCAGGGTCTCTCCATTTCCACATCAGAAGTGACAGCTACTAATACAAGGCATGCACCTCATTGCAGCTGTCTAGCCCTGCAGAACCTGTTCCGCAGATTTGCTGCTTCTGAATTCTTCCATTCTAGCTATACCAAATTTCCTAAATTTCAGGACAACTTTAGTCTCTTGCATACTCTATTTCTACGTCATGCATACCAAGTGGATACTGGTGTCCAGCAACACAGAGATTTCTGTCATTTTCCTGGCAAATCTTCCATTTTTGAAGATCTTTGGTCTGTTAATTTTACCCAGGTGTCCTTAGATTTTGAAGGGACCAAAAATTCCAAAGGAGAGGCCCTTAATTTTATCTATCCTTTTCCACTCTCTGTGTGGGCTTGCCTCCCAAAGAAATGGGAACAAGCCCAGGCAGCAATGCTGAAAGTTCCATCTACTTCAAAAGTTAAACTTAAATCTTCCACTACTTTTAGTAATCATACCAAGAACCAGGACTTTTCCGGTAAGGAGCAATTCTGCCAAAGATCAAAGACTGAGCAGAATTTGAGAAGCATCTACCTTACCCCAGAGGCAAAGGAAGTCTTGGAAGAAAGTTGTACTGTTAATGATGAAGAAAACGATCAGGATATGGAAATATCTGCTGACATCCATGTTCTTCTGTATTCAAGTGCACATGTGAAGGTGCAACTCAATCATTATCAGTATTTGATGCTACTTAGGATGACGGAAATGCTACAGACTTTTAAAGAGCAATTTACCCTAGACACCCAGGAAATAACTGGGTCACCTTTAGATTCCATAACCACTTGTATAGGAATCATGTTCAACAGTACTGAGATGGCTTTCCTAATGCATCCTGTTCCTTATTCTTCACTAGAGGCTAGATCTGTAGATTCAGATACTACCAGTCTAGTTGAATCTGAACTCTCACTTTCAGAGAGTAGGGAAAGACTAATTGCTGAAAGCACAATGCTGAAGTCAGATGTTAGCTCCGAGAAGGAAAATAGTAGTCCCATAAAAATGTTAGAAGATACTGGAACTGAGAATACAGATAGGAATATGACTGCATCGCAAACTGACGGATCCTTGAAAGAAGAAGAAGTTCATTGTCAAATAACTGGACAGAGGAGCCCTATAGAAGAAGCACATGAAGCTGAAGAAATCCCCGATGCAGAGAAAGGGTATGAGCATGTCAGCCTGTCTAAGACATCTGAAGTTCTTCCTTCCAGACCATCTTCCATTGTAGATCCTTTAGGTGGTATACATGTCTCTCTTAATGGGCAAGAAGAGTTGATTCCATTGAGAAACATGGAGTTGGAATTATCTAGTGCATTGCATATAACAAAAGGTGCAACCAAGGAAGCCTTGCATGTTACTATGGACCTCACTAAAGAAGCCATATCAATAACAAAAGATGCTTTCAGCTTGAGCAAGGAAAAAATGGCTTCCACTATGCAGAAAATGCTATTCTACCCCCAAATCAAGTGAGTAATACTTCAAACTAACACTACAATTAGGATAATAGTGATTATTACCATCTTCTGTTCTGTCTTCCTTTATGTGTTTGGGCAAGTGTAATCCAGAGTTCATTTTCCTGCTATTGAAATATTTAATAGACCTTTAATTTTACTTCCTTTTGATTACACTTCTTCTGTGAGGCTTGTCATTAAGGGAGCCTTGCCCCTTCACTTATTCCATGTGCTGGTTTCAAGATGAACTACTCTGCTGTGATATTAATGAATCATAGTTTTATGATTTTAGAAACAAGCTGTGTACATTGTAGATTATCTTTAGATAATCTGCAATGGTAGTCTAGAAGCAATTTTACTAAGCTGGTCTTTTTTTCTTGCAGTTATTTTATCATTGCCTTATTTCCTCTCTAGGGTTTTCGAACTTTACATTATTATTTTTTCAGAGTTATAAATGGCATTATGGAAAGTACCAGTTAAGACAATCTATTTAGAGATCTTTATATCTTTGCTACTTTTTCAATAGAGATAATCATTGTTGGTCATGTAATGTTTGAGAGGGCGAAACGATCCTTTCGTCCCGTACACTGAAGCCACTGAAGCAGCTCATTGTTGTCTTCTAATTAATCTTTGTATTTATTCTTGTGAATGGGTGTGTGTAGTAAAATACTGCTTATAGAAAATAGATACATGATTCCAGTGAGACAAAATATATATTCCATTTCTCTCGGAGAAGTAGAAAGGAAGAAACTGCAATGTGTTTTTTTCTTGCAGAATACAAAATTGCATGTATAACATATACAGATATGACCAGAGGTATTGGAATGCCTCAACCTTTTTCAAGTACTGGTAGTCCTCAAATTACAACAGTTCATTTAGTGATTGTTCAAAGTTATAACAGCACTGAAAAAAGTGACTTATGACAGTTTTTCACACGACCATCGCAGCATCCCCATGGCCACGTGATCAAAATTCAGATGCTTGGCAACTGGTTCATATTTATGATGGTTGCAGTGTGCCAGTGTCATGTGATCACCTTTGTGACCTTTTGACAAGCAAAAGTCAATGGGCAAGCCAGATTCACTTAGCAACAGTGTTACTAATTTAAAAAACTGAAGTGATTTACTTAATAGCTGTGGCAAGAAAGGTTGTAAAATGGGGCAAAGTTCACTTAACAAATGTCTCACTTAGCAACAGAAATTTTGGACTCAATTGTGGTTGTAAATCAAGGATTACCTGCATTACCAATTCTATAAATTGAAACTGACACAAGTAAATGGCATCTACTGTTCATTGTTCCGTAGAGCAGATACTTTGCTTTTGATGTGTGATTGGGCATGGACATAATTATTGGTATACATAAACTAATATTTTGTATCACACCTTTTTGAGGCAATAACTACAGTCAAACTCTTTCTGGAGCCTTGAATAATACTTTTATACTACTCAACTGGCAATTTGTTTCATTCTACTTGAGCAAAATTGTCCCAGTTATCTCATGTTTGATGGATCCTTCCCCCAACTTTCTTTAAAAATATCATTTTTTTTTGTGAACACACAACAAAACAGAGCTGGTGTGACTTGCCAAAAAGCTCTATTTTTGTTTCATCTGGCCAAAGGATATTTCTCCCAGAAGAAGTATGGCTTGTGAACATGCATTTTAGCAAATAGTCTGCTTGAGGGATTACTAAAATTTAATAATGTCTCTTAACTTCTATGGGCTATCAATAATTATGTCTATGCCATTTTTTTATTACAAGAATATGTTAAACAAAAAACAAAATGGCTTTATAAGGACTATAGAACAAAGAATGGTGGATGCCATTTACTTCTGTCAAATTTAATTCATGACAAATTGAGACTCTCTAGAAAAAGTGAAGGGACAGCAATACTTATGGCCACATCTGTAGGCTCCCATGATAACTATTGTTCATTAATACCAACTAATTTTGATCTGTGATTGTCAGCAGAGATATTTCACCAAAGCCTGAAGAAGGAGCAGTGACTCAAGTAGGAAGTAATAGTGAAAATACTCGTTTCTCCTCCATGAAGAAGACTTCTTCACAACATTCCTTTGATACCAATTCATTAGATGGCAGTGGTCTTGAAGATAGACTGTCAGTAGATAGTGATGGCAGTGATGGCTTTGTAATGCTTATGGATGCAGGTAATAAGAGCTTACTTGATTTTGGTCTTATTACAGATTAACCAAATGGAACTTAATGGAATTGTAAAGTAAAAAGGTTTGGTATTTTAGAGGATAGCTTACAAAGTGGCTATCTTGGGAAAATTGCATATTCACAAAACAAGTGTTGTGGCAGGTCATCACAAGACGATCATTTACCAGAATGGTTGGTATCTATTGTTCCAATGGAGCCTCTATTGGGCCCAAAGATATTTCTGAAATAAATATGCTAGTGCTTTCTCTTACAACATGCCAACTTTCCATTTCATTTTTTAATTCAAAGAATATGTTTTTAAAAGGCTTCCAGGAGCGGAATGTCTAGTGGGCATTGATCTGTGCCTATCAAGTATAAGGAATTGGCAGGGAGCTACATGTTGCCGAGCTGTTACTCTTAGCAGCCCCAAGATGGTGTGACAGTAGTAATGTTGGGAATTATATAATCTGGTCTGTTAAATGGTTTTGTTTGAAAAAATATTTAAAAGTTATATTATGGATAAAAGTGAGAACTTCTTAACCCAATTACGTCTTTAACCGCTTTTTCTTATTTCCATTGTGGTAACACAAAATTTATCTACTGCATAGGTTATATAGTGAATGAATCATCCTGGAGAGGATGATTCAGATAAAAATTTATCTAATAACCTGGGAATTCGTTTATTGGGGTGAAATATAAATAGACTTTATGTCCCTCTGAAATTAGCAATGTAATAATATATGTGAGATGATTTCAATTTCCTTATCGCCACGTGGACAAATGCACTCTGCTATGGAGATTTTATTATGTCTGCCTTGAAGTACTGCTGATGGAAGAGTATTTTATCTAGCTTTAAAAATGCTTTTCTCAACTTGCAGAAAATTAGGTTTTGCATATAACACATTGATTCCCATTTCACTTCACATTCTAGGATGTCTGGTTCGAGGTCAATGACCATCTCATTGTGGTTATCTGGGATGTTAAGCTCATTCTTGTATAGTTCTTCTGTGTAGTTTTGCCAAGTTCTTAAAGAGATGGGAGTACCAGACCATCTCATTTGTCTCTTGAGAAACCTATATGTGGGTCAAGAAGCAACAGTGAGAACCGAACACGGAACCACTGATTGGTTCAAAATTGGAAAAGGATGCCAGCAAGGCTGTATACTGTCGCTCTGCCTATTTAACTTATATGCAGAGCACATCGTGAGAAAGGCAGGGCTAGATGAATCAAAAGTTGGAATTAAGATTGCCGGGAGAAATATCAACAACCTAAGATATGCAGATGATACCACTCTAATGGCAGAAAGTGAAGAGGAACTAAAGAGCCTCTTGATGCGGGTGAAGAAGGAGAGTGCAAAGGTTGGCTTGAAACTCAACATTAAGAAAACCCAAATCATGGCATCCGGCCCTCTCAATTCCTGGCAAATAGATGGGGAAGAAATGGAGGTAGTGACAGATTTTATTTTTTCTGGGCTCCAAGATCACCTCAGATGGGGACTGCAGCCAAGAAATTAAAAGATGCTTGCTCCTGGGGAGGAAAGCTATGGCAAATCTAGACAGCATACTAAAAAGCAGAGACATCACCCTGCCAACAAAAGTGCGTATAGTCCATGCCATGGTTTTCACAGTTGCAATGTATGGCTGTGAAAGTTGGACCATAAGAAAGGCTGAGCGCCAAAGAATTGAGGCCTTTGAACTATGGTGCTGGAGAAGATCCTGCGAGTCCCTTGGACTGCAAGGCGTTCAAACGGGTCAGTCCTAGAAGAGATCAACCCCAACTGCTCTTTAGAAGGCCAGATCCTGAAGTTGAAACTCAAGTACTTTGGCCATCTAATGAGAAGGAAGGATTCACTGGAGAAGAGCCTAATGCTGGGAAAGATTGAGGGCAATAGAAGAAGGGGACGACGGAGAATGAGATGGCTGGATGGAGTCACTGAAGCAGTAGGTGTGAATTTAAATGGACTCCAGAAGATGGTAGAGGACAGGAAGACCTGGAGGAACGTTGTCCATGGGGTCGCGATGGGTCGAACACGACTTCACAATTAACAACAACAACAACAACATTGATTCCCATGTACCCTAATTTATTCACATTCTATTATGTTGGGACAAGTGTTGACTTCAGTCTGAAACTCTACATCATTTATGCTATGATAATTGTTTGGCTTGATCATAGCCTATTGATATTAAAAATGGTAGAGAGGACCCCTAGGAAGTCAACTTATACTTCAGAGCCTGTTTCCAGGGAGAATACAAATTATCTGGTAAAATTTAAGGGGGTCACTCCAATTGGAAAGAATTATATTTTAAGCCAGCATATTATCATCATCTTCCAGGCTGTGACCTGGATAAACCTCATTCCTGTCTCGCGTCTTAACTGGGCATTTGGAATTCCATTGGGAGCAGCTAAAATTGATCGCAAAAAAAATAAATGTTTACACAATTTTCACTTGTTGAGTGTTTTGATGGCGAGATTTTTTTTCTTGTCATAGATTTTGATGGTCATGTAATTGATGTTGATAACCTTACCAAAGTAGCAGAAACTGAAAATCAAATATCGAGATGAAGAAACAGGGATTTATATTTAACACTTGGTGCCCTCTGAGCCTTGTTATTTGCTTATAGACATTTCATTCCCCAACTAGATAACATCATGCCATTGATGATGTTACCTAGTTGGGAAATGAAATGTCTTGCACACAAACAACTGAGCTCAGAGATCACCAAGGACTCCGTAGTTAAACCCAAGCTATATATATTCTCTACTGAACCTTTTTTTGATTCTCTTTAAGACAAATAAAACTATTTATAAAGCAATATTCTTTCTGGATATTTCTATTTAATGTTGATGTCTAACCTATAACCCTAAACTTCACAAATTGTTCTCGGTTTAAAGACCAACAAGGGCAAGCCCTGCTTAGCTTTCTAAATTTGTGAAAATTGGCTACGCCCTGCCAGTGTTGGCTGATCAATAAAGAGGGCAATGAATCACAAGTATATTTAGGGAAATAAAGTTCTTCAAAAGTCTTGATTATGACAATATTAGAAGAACCATTCATAACTTCTACCAAGAAGTTGTGTTGGAATTGAATCCATCTTTTTTATTATTACATTCAAGTCTAAATGTTACTCATTTTTATGGAAAAATATAGAATTCTTAATTATTTTTACAATTAAAGAGACTCAGTTTGGATTTTTTTTTAACCTCTATTTTCTTTTTTTTCCTGTGAAAAGTTTTTTCTTTGTGGAATTATTTCTCTTTTTGTTGAAGTGGCGTTTTAAATGGGGGAGGAGAAGCTTAAGAAAAGGACGAAATCTATTTTTGTTTTAATGGCTGATTCTATTTTTGAATACTTGGGAGCCCCCCTCCCAATTTTTTTTTAGAGAGACTTAAAAGAGGCTATGTATCTGGAGAGTATTATTTTCTTTTATTCTTTATGTTCTCCGAAAAGACTGATTATTTGATTAACTTTGATTATTCGTCAGGGGACATCTTCTGCTGAAACTACTTATTGTTCTTGCTAATTTTTTCCGTTCTCTTGGAATTTGCATAAAGGAAATAGACTAAGAAACTTGAGGGGAGATGGATATTGATTGATTGTGTTTAAACATAGTCTCCCCCAAAAAGATAATGTCTTCAAATATGATAAAAATGGAAGAAACCCGTTCAGATTCTATTTATAAATATATTTTAGATAAAATCTTAGAAAACACGGAGATGATAACTGCCTGCAAAAAGGAGATTTCTTTATATCGATGAAGTCATGCACAAGCTTTAAGTGAAACTGTAGTTTGTATTCAAAAGACTTGCTCTCAGTTCACTGAGATGGAAGAAGCAAATGTACAGTTGGATTATCAGTTGATACCGGGAAAAAGCCTTGATATAAATGGTCAGATGACCTATAACAAGGAAATGGAGGAGTTTACTCCAGAAGGACAAACTGATTTGCATTCGACTTTCTGATACAGGAAAAACTATTGGAAGAAGAGCAAAACTTGACTAAAGAGGACTATACTAAAAAAATGATTTCAACTAAAGTTTATGCAACTTTAAAAAAGATGGGAAATGACGTTATGGCACAAGCTTTTCAGAATGACTATAACTTTTATATCAGCCTAAGAAAATGAATAATGGGAGACCTCTTGTTGCTATGTACAGTGTGGCAGGAGACAATGGGAGAACTATTTGCGGAACTAGAGACTCGACTATGGAAACCTATTTGGAATAGAAGGAAACCCAGAATAAAATATAAATATTAAATCTGAGATGATAATTATGGATAGTAAAGGTTTTATAGCGATTTGGACTGTCTTGGATTTGGTTTTTGTTAAATGGGAGGCTATTATGAAATTATTTAGAATTTAATACTGAAGTATAGCAAGAATATGTGGGGGGGGGGTTGTGTGTGTGTATGTTTGTTTTTCCCTTTTTGTGGTTTTTGTTTTGGAATGAGATGGATTGACTAATGAAATTTATATCCGGCAATATATTTAATGAAAATCTGTGTTAGAAATGTACTAATGAGACTATAATAATTTAAATAAATAGAAAGCGTTAGTTTTGATTTAAGCATTTAATTCATATACAGCGATATATTAATGAATGAATTGACTATAGGATTGTACTAATTTGATTATTATATTGATATTGAGCGGTTGAAAGTTTTTATTGATTAAGGAAACTTATATTTAGATATATTAATGAATGAATTTATTTGAATCTATTTGATTATAATATTTTACATAGATAGAGAGGGAAGTTTTAAGAAACATTGTGTGAATTGTATATATATAATGTTATTGTTTTCTTTTTGTAATTGACCACCATATCTCCACGCTGGTTCTTAAGCTTCTGTTGGTGTAAAATGGAAAAATAATAAAAATTCTTTATTAAAAAAAAAGACTCAGTTTGATATAGTTGTTAAGGTACTGGTCCAAAAAGCAGAAGACTGAGTCCTCAGCCTCCTTTAAGCTTGAAAGCCAGTTAATTATGATTGTGTATGGTGTGTGTGTGTGTGTGTGTGAGTGAGAGAGAGAGAGAGAGAGAGAGATGAAATAATAATTATGGCAATAATAATTCCCCAAACATCTGGAACATCACCTGAACATCATCGGCATTAACAAAATCAGTCATTTTCAAAAAGGCAGTTTACATCTTGAAATGATAATTTTAACAACATTAAGTAACAACATTTGTTTATTCAAAACCCTTGGGAAGGATTAAGTAGATAAAAAATGCCAAATCCAATCTAAATATCTGGCTGACTGCAAACAACAGCAGCAGCAACAACAACAGTAGTAATAATAATATAGTATTCTTTATTCAGTTCTAAAACTTTCCTTTCTGGGGGCAAAAGAAGTTGGAATTCTAGATAACTCATACTATAATTAGTACTGAAGAACTGCAGAAGGTTTTTTTCCCCAGAATTCTTGCAATCTTTTCTGTGCTAAAAAATATTTAAAATGTTATATTTCTTTTTATTTCAGAGCCCAGTCTTGATCTTCTTACATTAGGACAACTTCCCCAGATCCTCAATGATAGAGACATTAGAGCAAGCTCAGTGGGTGACGAAGAAAGAGGATCAACCTGTGTTAACAGCTCAGCTTCTCTGAGTGGACAGGATCCTAATACTCAGTTGGTCAGATTTTTTTTCTTGTTATTTTACCAACAATTTTTCTGTGGAATTTGAGAGCAGCATCCATTTATTCTGAGCTTTCTCTTTTAGGTTTCTGTGCTGGTGTTAAAAATGAATGAATTGAACTGTGTAATAGAATCAAAGGGAGATAATATGATACTTGCTCTTCAAGCTATGGAACTAACTCCTGAGCATGTAGGAAATATCAGTATGTGGCAGTATCTGCAGAATGCTCCCACAGGTATGCTAGTGGCCAGCAAAATATTTAGCTTCATTTGTCAGCTTTGATGCAAATGTGCAAATCTGTGAGTAAAACCTTTCTCTTCTAGCACAGTTGTGTCTTTCAGTACATAGGTGATATTGAAATAATAATCCCTCTTTTCTTCCTCTCACCAACAATGGGGCAAAAAAAAGCAGGTAATTTTTAAAATCAGATATGCTAAGAGTTAGTATCAGCTTCCTTCATGCTAAGTGTTATAGGCAGAGCTGAAGAAAATAAGTGGTGAAGCATTTGCTTGATACTGACAGGTGCTATCAGATTGCTGATTTTTTGCTCCCATAGATTAACCCAGCTCTTCTCCTATCGTATCCTTAAGAGTGATGAAGCATAACGATCCAATTGTTCTTTAGCTTCAACCACTCCTCCTCTTTCCTAACACATTATTATTATAATACGGCAGTGTTTCCCAAACTTGACAATTTTAAGGCATGAGGACTTCAACTCCCAGAATTCCACAGCCAGCAACGCTGGCTGTGGAATTCTGGGAGTTGAAGTCCACATGCCTTAAAATTGTCAAGCTTGGGAAACACTGTAATACGGGAACAACCCCCCACCCACCCACTATCCTAAATTTTAGAATATTATTTTCTATTAAGGGTCACTTTTCCTTAGAATTTTCTATAGTGTTTCGGTGCTGCTATCAGATGTGGATAGAGCTGAAGTGTGTAGCTAGGGCTGTTTATGGCCCCAAAACTTTTGGTTGCAGTTTTCAGGATATTACTACCAAATTGCAGTTTTGAAGAATGTCAGAATAAAAAATTATTAAATACATATAATAATTAATTGTAATTAATTTTCCCCAATTTTGTTTTTATCCTTACCCCATCTAATTTCTAGAGGTAAATTCTTAGTACCCGGTTCCAGTGCCAACCATGCCCTTAAACCCTTAAAACATTCAGTTAGAGTTGTAGGTTTTCATTCTCTTTTTTACACACCTTTCATTCCCTTTGCCATCCAGATCTCTATATTTAATTTATAGTAATGGTAATATAATTATTACTGAAAACTCTCTGTTGCAATGATTTTATTCTTCAGCAGATCCAAACACAGAGAAGTCTACAACTACTGAAACTATCCAAACCCAACCTGTGGTGTGCTTACGATATGAAATTGGACCAAGTGCTGCAGTGCACTCACCCCTGGCTGTCCAAAATGGATTTTTTCATATGCTGATCCATAGCTATGAGGCAGAACTTCTGACATCATCTCTTTCCAGCATTGGACTCTTCTTTGAAGATGAAGTCATTCCTGAAGTTATTCCCATGAAGATTGAGATTGTGAATACCAAGATTACATTAAAGGTAAGTTTGTAGTCTTAGCATTAAGAAAGGTTGGGAAATGTAGGAAACTCCTGTGGGAACCATTTCTGTTTCTACAGTGTTCTGAGAGAATTATTTATATAAAATATTTAAATTAGATGAACGGTTTATTCTCAAATAATTAAAATTTAAGATGTTCGTATAATTTGATATTGAATGTCATTATTTATATTGAAAGTCATTTTGATAGCTCATAGTAAAATAAATAAGTGGGTAATAAAATGTTCCTCACTGAAGAAAAATGAACATGGTTTTTCCAATGCTAGTCTCACTAACCTTTGGAATATAACAGATAACCCGCAATGTACAGGCCCTACGTGACCTTTTACAGAGGCCCCAGACCTCGCCATGTTCCCCTATAGCAAACAGTTATGCTCAGTCTTCATTGTGAGGACAAAGAGTAGGGCTTATCCACTTAAACTCTTTTAAAAACAAAACCACGAAGTGAAGTATATATAAATAAATATGGGTAAGAATAAAAGGATAATTGTTATTGTGTGGGGAGGAAAGAAGTTAGACTATCTGTTAGTTTTTGACAAATTAATAAAGGATTTGGAGTTATGGCTGAACCAGTCTGATGGATAGTACCAAATATTCAAAATACTAAAAATAAAATTAAAAAAGCAAAGTACTCTAGAGTCTAGAGCAAGTCTAGACTGGCACTGGGCTGTAGCATGCCAGCAACCGGGCCGCGCAAAGAAGCGAAGCCCCAACCATGGGATGCAGGCAGCATGCAAAACCACGCCCCCCTCTGGTGTGTGGAAAAATCTTACTCCATGGAACTGATCTCTGGTGCCCAAAAGGTTGGGGGGCCGCTGCTCTGGAGAGATAATTAAAATAAAAGGATTGAGAACAAAATAGCAAATACAATGGAACATTTGTGTAAAAAATCTGGCATACACACTGGTAGGAGTATTGAAGCTAGTAATCACGAAAAATGGGATCCTACAAAACCAAGTGAACCAAGTCAAAAACTGACCTAAACAGCAAGTAGATTCTGATTTTGGGGTTGTTAAAGGATTAATATTAATATTTTGTAATACCCTTATACAATATTTTCGTATAGCAGTACTTGGAAAACAATCTATCGTTCTGATCATTATATTTCAAAGAAAGAACTTGAAAAATCAGATATGGTATTGAGATTCAGATATTTAGGAGATGGAGTATTTTTCCTTTGAAACAAGTTAAACACTAAGAACTATGGGTAGTCCACAATTAATGACATTCTTTCAATGACCATTCAAGCTTAGGGTGGCACTGAATGAATGCTACTCATGGCCGGTACTCAAAGTTCTGGCCATTCCAGCACCCCTGTGGTCATATAACTGGCTCACACTTTATGATGGTTGCAGCATCCTGCAGTCTCGTTATTTGCAATCTTCCCTGCCGGCTTCCCACAAGCAGAGAAAACAAGTAGAGAAGGGTAGCAAGTTGCTCAGGTAGGTCTCCCCCACCTGCAGCACCCACTCTCAGCCCCACTATCTTCATAGCACAGTAGCCCTTCAGGCACTGCAATAGCCAACCCAAGCCCCACGGCACTCATGTCTTATCCCAGTGATCTTTGTCATGCACCTTGCAGCAACCACTTATCTACCCTGCTTGGAAACTGCCTGGGAGTTACAAATTTCTACCGCTTCCCCACTGATTTTTCTTGTTGGAAATTGGCAGGTTGCAAGGAAGTCCTCTCTTAATGACTCGCTATCCTTGCTTAATGATGGCAATGTGGCGTGCCAGGATTGCCATTTCTAAGTGACGTGGGTCACATTGCGCTTTACAACTGCTTTGCTTACTGATGGAAATTCTTGTCCCATGTACCATCATTAACTGAGGACTACGTGTATTTGGTTTAGAAGAAAAGAATACCAGAGATGCAAAGTTTAATTTTTTATTTTATATTATCATTTTCCTACTAAAAAACATCACAGAGAAAAGCTAATTTCTTATAATCTAGCAAGAATAGAGAATAAAGGGGAGAATACAAATTCAGGCACAAACTCTTAAATTTAAATATTGTTTTTTAAAAAATCAACTGGACACAGTTTAGGAAGTGACAGAGCCTACTGGAGCTGGCCTTTTAGGTGGGCTGATAAAAAGATGCTTCTTTCCTTCTCATTCTCCCTCTGTTATGCTTAAATTAGGATGAATAGGTACATTCAAATTCCTCCTGTCAAGATTGTTGCTTGGAGTTTTTCAACTTCCTGACTTAATTCCCCACTCCAGAATAGTTGATAGGCAGGTGCCTACTATAGCAGAGTGCTTTTCTTGAAATGTAGATTAGTTTATAATTAAAAAAGTTACATGAATTTATACATCTGTTTTGGTACTTATCAGTGAGGACAATCCTAAATCTATTTTCAGTCAAGGTTTAGTACTTCATTTTCCCTTCTCTTTTATGTTATTTTGCCTTTTAAGCTCATTGTAGAGTTAATTGCCTCCAGCCTGCGGCACTTGCCTCTGTCAGCAGAGCTCTTAATTTCATTTTGTAAATTAGGAGAATGAATGCCTGAAATTGATCTGAGCAAACAGATGGTCCGTAACACACTACAGATGTCTTTCCTTTGTATCTGTGTGGAAAGCTTCATGGATTTAAATGCTCTTCAGCTTATTCAAAGGGGATTATATTGGTTGCTGTATCTTCTCCTTCTTCTCCCTAGCATAGTGCCAGATCTGCTTTTTTTCAGATCAACCAAAGAGTTGATCAATTGCTTGTGACAGGAATTGATTGCCTGACTTATTACATTGTAGGCTAGGACAGAGTAGCCCAAAGTCGCCCAGCTGGCTTTCATGTCTAAGGTGGGACTAGAACTCACAATGTTCTGTTTTCTATCCTGGTGCCTTAACCTCTAGGCCAAACTGGCTTTCTATTGGTTGCTATAGCAGTGCTAAATATTTTTGAAAAATAGATCACACTAATCTTCACTATTCTGATGTAATTGTCCCAGAGTACTTTTTCCAAAAGGGAATTGGTCTCTCTTAATGTTTTGCTTCTTGTTCAAGAAGCTTCTTCAGTTCTAACTGAAGGTGGGGAATGGCAGGGTTAGTGAAGGAGAAACATATGGACAGTGGGGAGACAAAAAAGTATCTGAATGTTTCCAGGTAGAAAAATAACACAAAATCTTAGCATATCAGAGATTAACCAATTTATGATTATGTTAGTTTTCATGAATTATGTGCTCATAGGGGTAACATTAGATGTGACATCTGTGGAGAGAGAAATGATAAAAGAAAAGGTACATCAGATTAGTTTGCTTAATATTCAGAGATAAATCCAATCTGCAAACTATTAAAAAGCAAAGGCCAAAAAGGAAACAAACTGCCCTGACCAGATCCTCCACTATTATACACCAAGCAAACATAGTTAGTGAAAGCCAACACAATAGATAAGAACAACTAAAGATAACCCAGTGCATGTAAGCAAGCCTTATCTAACAGGCATTCAGTATTCCCGATCAAGGCATATAAGATAAGCATCATAAAAAAGCCAGAAAACCCCACTTTCTGATGTCAGAACACTGACAATATTACCTAATTTGGTAGGGGAACTTTACTAATTGATAAGGCACTTGTAACCTGCATTTGCATAAGCAACCCTTTTCCCACTCCCTATTCTCCAACCGTCTGAAGCCAGTTGCAGTTCACCAAAGCTTATGCCTTTTAATAACATTTGTTAGTAAAGGTGCTATCAAACTCCTTCTGATTGTTTGTAAGAGAAAAAAAAACAGGTCAGCGAACACCAAGATCCCAACATTTCATGTATTCTCCACTCTTGCTGTTGTGTATGTGCATCATCAGCCTTAAATCCCAGTCTTGAATTCATTTTATTTTTTTTATTACCTGACAGTTTTTCTAGTTTTAACAAATACAGCATATGGAAACAGCCATATTAATATTAATATTAACATAAGAATATTATAGTTAACACAGGTAGTTCTCGTCTTACAACAGTTCATTTAATGACCGTTCAGAGTTGCAACAGCAGTGAAAAAAACTGACTTATGACCATTTTTCACATGTAACAACTGTTACAATATCCCCATGACCACATGATCAGAATTCAGACACTTGGCAACTGGCTCATATTTATGCAGAGTCCCAGGGTCTTGTGATCACCTTTTGCAACCTTCCAATAAGCAAAGTCAATGGGGAATCCAGATTCGCTTAACAATCATGTTACTAACTTAACAACCGCAGGGATTCACTTAACAATTGGGGGAAGAAAGGTCGTAAAATGAGGCAAACCTCACCTAACAAATGTCTCACTTAGCAGGAGAAATTTTGGGCTCAGTTGTGGTCGTAAGTCAAGGACTACCTGTATAAGTAATTAGAAAGAAAATATTTTATAACATAGGATAATTTTCTTTGTTTTTTTAAGGATGACAGTCCTCGAGTATATCATACCACTCCTGGTCCTGTGCCTATAATTTTAGCCATGGACCACATTGTTGTTCATTGTAAAGATGATGGCATGTTCTTTATAACAGGTTAGTACCCTACATTCCAGTAACACTGACTTATATGAGGCTGCAGTTCATGTAACTATAGATAAGATAAGATAAGATAAGATAAGATAAGATAAGATAAGATAAGATAAGATAACCTTTATTGTCATTTTTTTTACTGTGGGCACACTGGCACACATCAAAAATGAAATTTAGTTGCCCGCTCTCAAAGTGAAACACATACATGACACAACCTAAAAACATACTATATATAACATATGTATAGACCCACACCTCTACATATACATAACAAATAAATATTAAATACTGTCCATCTTGAATATATAACAGAAGGAGGAAGCTTGAGAGTTCACAAGGTTAATGCTGTAAGGAATGAAACTATGGCTGAATCTGGATGTTCTGCTTCGGATACCACGAAACTTCCTCCCAGAAGGTAACAAGGAAAACAGGTCGTGAAGAGGATGTGTAGTGTCCCAGATAATCTTACGGACCCTGCTCAAGCAGCGCTTCTGTGCTATGTCCTGGATGGGAGGGAGGGGACTGCCAATGATCTTTTCGGCCATTCTCATCACTCTCCTGTCTGAAGCAGTGATGCTTCCAAACCAGACTGTGATGCTGTATGACAGGATGCTCTTGATCATCCCCTTGTAGAAAGTGGTCAGGACAGGGGAAGGAAGATGTGCTTTTCTCATGAGATGCAAAAAATGCAGGCGCTGCTGTGCCCGCTTCACCAGTTTCTCACTGTTGAGCGACCAAGCCAGCCTACTATACTGTATCTCCTAGAAATCTCTAACTCAGCTTTCCCAAATCTAGCACCCTTTTTATGTGTTGGAAATGTGTTATGTCTGGGAATTGCCATTATTTAGATTGTAGTACATGTACAGCGTGTCAGTTTGATGAAAACTATTATAATCTGTCTCAGTTTCTCTTTGTTCTAACTGCTGCACTGAAGTACATTAGAGAAGTGCTAATATAGGGAGACAATAATGCTGTTAAATATTGTCATTCAGCAATCTGACTCCATTATATTTAGTTGTTCAGTTAAAAAAAAAATGAGACGGTAAGCTAGAATTACTGTTGTGTAATTGCAGAGATATTATTTTATACTTTACCCTCCAGCTGCACAGAGAGAAGAAACTTCTGCCCTGAAAGCAATCCAGAAAAATCTTAAGGAACAGCGTATTCCAGCAGAGAGAATCTCTATAGTTTCAGCAGGAAGTGATGATGAGCCAGAGGTATACCCTATGTGTCCCTTACCAAATAGCTTGTAAACACAAAAGAAAAGATGGTAGACAGAAATATTCTCTGTGTGTATGTTTATTTTTTTCTGGGGGTATTTACTTCTATGTAAATACCATAAATAGGGTGCTTCTAAAAACCCTCATTTCAGCTTCCCCCTTTCATTTTTGGAAAAAGAGGAGCAAAAATGCCTCCTTACCTTTTAAAAAGATGGTTATTCGAAACAGTGTTGAAAAAAGAGTGTTGACATTTAATAATTGGTTTTCATCAAAAGCTATGATATTGGAATATTCATTAATTCAGATATTGCTGTAAAGTGCCCATGATTGGAATAAGGAATAGTGATAAAAAACAAAAATAATATGATATGGTATTATACTGATGTGATAGTCTTCAGTAACACAGCTTCTTTGTTATTAATGTTTAAATAATAAATCCCTAGTACTATAACTAGATCATATGCTGATTAGCATATGCGTAACTTCATTAAAACAAATCCCAACTCTAATTATATTGATCGACTGTAATCTAAAAAAATTCCTCTTAGAACTAGGGTTTCTCATTTGTTGCTTCTTTTTCCTCTTTCAGAAAACTCCAGTTTATTTTCATAAAAAAATAAATAATTCAGGCATGAAAAACAGCATTAACTGCATGAGTTAAAGTATGAGATTTAGGCACTCAGTGGTATAAACATTATGTTCTTTATTGTAAGACAATAAGCATGAATTCTGCTTTATGTTGTTCAGTGAGGCATGCTAATTCATGCTGGTTTATTGCTTTTGCTTGCCTCCCCTTAAATTTGCTGCTCTCTAGGTAAGCAGAACACTGAATTGCTTTTCAGATTGATAACAATAGTTAGAAATCAGATAACATTCTCTTAATATTCCCTTATAAGAAATGCTGAAATTAGTTACTGCATTAAATTATTGGCTTCCAGTAAATAATTAGATTTCTCATTCTGCGAATAGTTTTCCTGGAAAATTTATTCTAGTTATAATTTCATTCATTCATTATATTCATCCCTAGCTTTAATTCATAGACAAAAATCACAGCATATAGTACTGCACTGACTATTTTTTTCATCTTCACAACAGTCTTTTGAGGTATGTTAGGTTGAAAGATCATGAATGTCCCAAAATGATTAATGGCTAAATAGAAATAGAATTTGAATTCAGGTCCAGCACCTTTGCCAGGCCAAGTTTACCCCACATTTTACAATCTTGTTTTGTATTTTGCAGTTGAAAGCAGCATTCACTTTGGAACAAGAGTTACAGGACACTCGGAGAGCTCTTGCAGAAGCCAATCAGGACAAATTACGCTTATTGCAGGAAATCAAGAAATACAATCCTCTCTTCCAGCTTTGACAAAAAGACTTGAGCAAGAGATGCTCAAAGCATTCAGAACTTACTACCAGCATTGAAAAGGTTTGCTAAAAGCGAAGCAGTTAATTTGTTCGCCTTCATTCAAGAGCTGCTACCTTGAAAACAGAAGCAGCATGCCATTACAGGAGATGGAAGTGGAGATGTAGCAAGAAAGCACATGGGAATAAGATGAACGGGAGACTGGATTTAGTAGCCCAGCTGTATCTGGAAAAATATGAAACTGTACTCTAGCTAAAGCATGGCACTATTATCAGTTGAATAGTGAGACAAGAAAAAAAATTACTCATGAGTTATCATAAAGTGGTGCTAATAAACATGTTTCTTGCTATGACCTGTTTCTTACAGATAGCTGTTTGGGACATGCTCACCCCATTCTGCTTAGCTCAGGCCTAATTAGACAATTCTGCTATAGCAACATGAGTTTGAAATATGGACTGGAGATACAGTTACAGACCCAGCACAAGAAAAAAAAAAGTGCTCGGAACAGAAAATACAAAATCCATCATCATTGTTCTTAGAGAAAAGAATTGAGGTGGCCATAATTTCTCATGAAATTATATTTTCCCTAGTCTCCTTTCTTTATAATACTGTAATCTATCAATGCAGTATTGGTACACTAACCTTCCTTGTGCTTAAGGTTCACCACCTCCATTAAAATGGATTTACAGCCATTTTGGAGTACAATTTGATGAGAAAGTGCCTGATTAAACATTTTATCCTTATTCATGAAAATATAAATAACTTTATTTTCATAACTATAACTAATAATGTTGGAGAGGTTTGGAAATGAGATCTGTCAAGTCACAGGTCATGTCAATGGAACAAAAACTTTTTCTGGAAGATGTGGAATGCTGCTAGAAATTGTTTTAGCTGCAGAATGGTTGACCTTTTTGCTATCACTTTTGTATGATATTTGGAATGAAAGAAAAACAATTTGGCTCTAAAATACACAATAGCAATTTTTATGAATGTTTCTAAAACTAGAATGATATCTCCAAAGAAATATTAGAAAAGTTATATATTGCTTCCCAAAATAGTTATGTATCCATAACTATGCCAAAATAAAACAGAAGCAAATAGTTGCTAATAATCCTTCTATAACAGACCATAAGATTTTCAATTAAAGTTATCCATACCATCCAACTATAACAGAAAACTCTCATGGATTTTAATCTAGATTTTTATGACTTAGTTTTGACCACGTATTGAATGCATTTAAGTTTTATTATAACCTGCTGTAACTGCCAATCAAATAGATAACTGGCAGAATCTAAAGTGAACAAATTTGGAAAGCATATCAAAGGCAAAGATTCCTTTGTTTTGAATTTAATTCCTGTTGATTATTTGGGCAGATAAAATTCAAAATCTGAATTTATCCTTGTGAAAGCAATTAGGGTTAGGCCAGGTTCTAGCAGCATTTCTCACTAAAATGTAGTTTTAACTCTAAGCCTGATGTTCTTACATAGAAAAGAGTGACTTTTAAAATATGCTGAGTCTTATTATTATAAATAGATATAGATACTCAAAGTTTATTTAGACCAAGGCATGAAGGATAATAGAAATTAATTAGTATGAGTTGGTAGGTATCAAATTGAACAAAGTTTATACTGTTTTACACATTTGAATCCAAGAATGGAAATGTGCTATAGGCATTACTGAGCTTACCTTTACTAAGCCAGCTCAAAATTCACAAAAAATATGTGTAACATTGTCAGTTGTCCAGAATACTTAATTGACTATCTAGTAACAAAATAAGAGAGGAATAGGAAGAAAACAGACTGATTTTGAAGCTCTGGCATCTGTACTCAGATAAATCTTGAAACATAATACAGGTAATCCTCGAATTACGAATGTAATGGAGCCTGCCCATTCCGTTCTTAACTCAAAAACTTGTGGGAGTGAATCTTGTACCTTGAACGCAATTCATTCCCTACTTGTTAAGACACACGTGGCTCATTAAGTGAACATAAGGTATCTCAGGGTGGGGAAGGCCATGGAGGGCCTAGTGGAACAGGTCCCAATGCCTTCCCGACCCACTAAGATACCTCTTGCTTCCCTCTCCCTTCCTGCCGTGCGGGACTCACCTTGAAAAGATCTTTTTTTCTGCCACAGCTCCTGCTGCCGCCCGAATCTAAGGCTGGGGAGCGCTTACACAGGTCTCTGGAGGCTGGATTCGGGTGTCTGAGGCCTTTTCCAGGCCGCTGCCACCCAGAAGTGAGGCCGGGAGACACTTCCGCAGCTCTCTGGAGGCCCGTTTCTGGGTGGCAGTGGCCTGGAAAAGGCCAACAACGCCTGGATCAGGCTTACAGAAAGCTGTGGAAGCGTTCCCCGGGCTCAGATCCAGGTGGTAGTGGCCTGGAAAAGGCCTCTGGCGCCTGGATTGGGCCTACTGAGGGATGCAGAAGAGTCCCCCGGCTTTGGTTCTGTTCTCAGTTGCAGAGAACAAAGGCCTAAAATAGCATGAGATCACACAAGATCAGTAGTGTGAGATTTCGCGCCACTGATCTCATGTGATCTTGCGTTACTTTAGGCCTTCATTTTCTGTGAATGCACCAAAAGCCTGGAGCAGCCAAGAAAGTGAAGGATCACAATCTTTGCAGGGTGAGTATTGAAAAGACCTGAGGTGGGGTTGGGGAGGGAGGGAATAACCAGGGTGAATGTTGTATCACTGTGGTCGCTCGTAAGGGTGAACAACTGCCATGGTGCTGCAACATTCGTAATTTCGGGACTTGCTTTTAAGCACTAGGGGTCTCTTATTGTGTAATTTTGAACATTCACTAAGGGAATGCTCATAACTCGGGGATTACCTGTATAGGAAAGGATTGTGAATTTTTATAGCAATTTTTCAAGCAGCATCTTGTCAAAACAATATAATGGATCAGAGTGCAGTTATTATATGTCCTTTATAGATGGCATTTTCTGTTTTTTAAAAAATGGAACATGGTGAGGATAACAAGCTTTAGTAAACAGCTGTTTGCTTGATATTATCCAATTTGTTTATAATAACATGCTAAATTTAGTTTATGCACTACAGCTAATCTTTGTCTAATAATTATAGTTCTTAGTTGAAGCACCCACCTGTTACAGAATGATCTTTTTCTCAAATTTCTGCTTTTCTGCCTGGATTGCAATAGAGCAGTCACGATCTCATTTTCACCATGTGAATTATGAAGAACTTTTTTTAAAAAAAGCTTCTGCTTCTAATAATTTGTTAGCCTTTGGGGTTATTTGTAGAATTGCTGAACTCTAGGAAGTTTTGCAGCTGTGCTGTGCTTCTGTCGGTTTCTTTAATTTAATGGTAATGTTTTTTGCTTATAAGATTGCATGTATTCTGGATTTTGCCTGTTTGCTATGTAAGGAACAGTTGTTGCTTTTACACTTTTCCTGTTATCTCTGTTACAATATTCTAAACAAACCCAGGCCATGCACTGGAGTAAACATTATTCTGTCTCTCCATATTGGATAATGCCCTTATGGGACAGTCCTTCTTTAATATACTTGCAAAAGCACTCTTTATCTAAAGAGTAGTGTGCTTTTGCAGATGTATATGCCTATTTTTTCTGATGAATAGAACAGTCTGTGACTATATGAAACTGCTGATAACCAAAATAACACATGTAACTGTATTTTCTGTCAACTTTGACAAGAAGTTTGTTAATGAATATGTGGTTGTTTTTTTCTCTAGATCTAATTGTTGAATAATTGCCCAAATATGTTGGTTTATTTGAACAAATACATGTGCACCCAATTTTTTGAAATTAGAATGAGGCAAGTGTGAACATTTACATTCGGTGAAATACACATTCTGTTCACAAAGTAACTTTTCATTTAGAAATGCAGCAGGGTACAAAAATCACAGTGTATTTTATTATACTATATAGTCTCTGCATTTTTGACTAAAATAATTTTATGTCTTCCAATATAAATTTGGTTTAAAATAAGGCAAAATGTAGAAACTGTAAACTGTATACTGTGGCAAATAAATTGGTGTAGTATGCTTGTTTCAGTTAATAGAAACTACAGCTTATTAGCCTGTTATGGCATGAATGCCTCAGATGCTTCCGCTATGTTGAGAACAATTATTTATCTAAACGTAACACGAGAATAAGAGGAAATCCATTGAAGCTGATATTTGACTACAAAAAGTATTTTAGTCTGGTTCTGTTTTTGAAGATGTTTTCCTTCTATGCTGTATTTATATATGTGAAGAACAAAACTCTTTATATAATGTCATAGCTGACATATCAAAAAATTAATTTTAAAGCTCTACACTATAAGTCTGTATAACTACTTCTGTAATTTCAAACAGGAGAGTATATGGGAATAGACAATATGTGGTACAAGTCTCACTTGAAATCTAAGCCTTCAGTATATTGGATCTCTTTCTCACACAATATGGTTTCCTCTTGACTATACTGGTTCTGTGAACCACTTTTAAAAAAATATGTATTAAAATGCTTAACTTCTATTTCCATTTATTTATTTCTCAGGCTTAGGTTCCTATCTTAGACTTTATTTATATTTATTAATTTATTTGTATTGATAATTGCAATTAATATACATTGTGAACATTTCTGAACTTTTCAAAAACACTTAAGGGCCTTATTAAAATGACAAGTTTTAAAAGTTTAACATTAGCTTTATGATGCACAATTGTTTTTGATAATTCTTTACAAGTATGTGGCATGTTTCCTTGATCTTGCTGTAATAGTTAACAAATTCTATATTTAAGTTGAGAGATCAATGCAAACTTAAATATTAGGATTAAGAAGAAAAATAACTATAATTACTATGCTAGATATAGGTGTCAACAGATGTAATGGTATCTGCAATACTGATAGTCCTCAGGTAACAACCCTTATTGGGATTGGAATTTCTTTTACTAAGCAAAGAAGTCATTAAGCAAAACATCACATGACGGTGCTGCTTAACGATGGCAGTCCTGGCAGCGGTTGTTAAGCAAAGGTATGTGACTATGACTTACGACCTCCTGCAGCTTCTCCATTGACTTTGCTTGTCGGAAGCCAGATGGGAAGGTTGCAAAAGCTGATCACATCTCCTGTCAGCTCCCACAATGATCCAATCCATTCCCAGCTTGATCCCTGCCAGCTCCATTCCTTGATTTTTCCAAGTCAAAGGACACTTTCAGGGGATCACTCAGCCAGAAGCCAATTGTCCTGCTCAAGCTGTGTCCTGTTCCTCCCATCTGCCATTCTCTTCCCTTTCTCTAGAGCATAGTCAAGATAAAGATGCTGTTATATTCCACCACCCTCTGCTAACCATCATCTTCCCCTCCCCTCCCCTGGCTGATGATGGCTGGCTTCAAGCCCATAGCACTGAAGGTGGGACAGCAGCAAGGGGCAGTGGCAGAATAAGCAGCATCTTTTATCTTAGCCATGCAGTGCAAGGTAACCAAAAGGGCAGAGTTGAGCCCAGTACTGTCAGCCCCTGTGCAGTGGGGCTTGGGGCCAGCAAGCCCAGGGGAAGGGAGCAAAGAAGACAAAGATCAGCTTGGAGTGGGGACAATGGAATATAGTGATCTCTTCATCTTGGACATGGTATCTAAGGCAGCCGAAAGGAAAGAGAGGGGAGGAGATAGGCAAGAGGGGAGAGCTAAGTGGAGGCTGTTTGCACAAGGCAGAGAACATGACCTCGGGAAGCTATGATAGTTATGTGGGCTAGTCCCCAAGCATCCGAACTTTGATTACATGACCATAAGGACACTGTGAAGGTCATAAATGCAATGTTGGTTGTAAGTCCATTTTTTCAGCAGTGTAGTACATTCAAATAGTCACTGAATGAACAGCCATTAACCTGTAACATTTTTTAAAAATTTTTATTTCCTTTTAAGAGAAATCTCAAAATCATGTTTCAGAAGTTTCATGTAATCTTGTTACATCAATGTTTCTTATTCTGCCTTCTTAGAAAATGTTTTTATATTTAGCACAATATACCTGCAATGTAGTCTTACCATTACCCACTCAGAATTATTGCACAAGTAACATCTTAATTTTGCAGAACTTGACACTGTTAAATAATCTGAAAATACTCTCAGAAGTCATTTTCATTTCAGTGAAAACATCTCCATTCCACTTAGATACTTTTTCTGCTTCCTCTTCAGTGATAGAGAATTTTTTTATATTTTGAATTTGGAATCTGTCCTCGTGATTTCAGTCGTCTGACTGCTTCACGCATATGCTTGGGTTGCAGAGGTGGCGATTCTCCCCACTTTTCACATACATCTAACGCTGTGCAAGACAAAAGTAAATCTGTTATGCTAGCTGTCAATTCAGTGGAATAGAGCTGTGCAGATGTGATAGCAAAATCCTTCATATTTCTACATGCATTTTAGTAAACACAGTTACTGCCATCTATAAAATTATTACTTTTTCTATACTTTGCTATTTTGTGCAGTTCAGTGCAGTACATAATGTTTCTGCCTTCTATTTGCCTCACAACAACCAACATAGGAAGTGGGTTGGGCTATGAAAAAGTGACTAACCCACTCAGTCAACCTAATACCTAAGGGAGGATTAGAACTGTTTCTAGTCAAAAGCACTTTAAAACATTGCACCAGATTGGCCTCTTTATGTCCCAAACTCTAATAGAAAGTCTGTAAAACTTAACATTAGTTTTCTCTGCTGCAGAACACACTCCATATTTACATATACACTTTTGTAAAATAGTAGGGGAAATGTGTTCTGTTTGTAAGCAATGGGGGGAAAATAAGTAAAAGCATTTGCATGTGTATTGTATTACTGCTATTACATAAGAAAAAATATCTGAACACTAATTTTATTCATTTATATTTAAGTGTCCCCTTTGCCAATTAAAAAAATAAGCAAATATATAGCTGATAATATTTATTGTTTGCTGATTTAACAATCTTGTTTCTCTTAAAAATATTGACCTGTTATGTGTTAAGTAGCAATATGCATACTAGGGAGAAGAATATTATTTAGGAGTAAAATACTACACAAAATAGGGATGGGCAAAACTTGATGTTTTGGTTTTCTGACATCAATATAGTTAATTCACAACTGGAATACAACATCCGGAAGACATTTTTACCATACAACTATTTAAAAGATGGATTACTAAAAGCTAAATAATATATATATATACATACATATACATATATATACATATACATATACATATACATATACATATACATATACATATATATATATATATATATATATATATATATATATATATATGAAAGAATAGCAACATTGCAGTAATTAGTAAGGCATGTCTTCAGTTAATGGAAGCTACAAATAATTAAGAACTAGATTATTCTTATACTTACCCTCTTCAACTACTTCTCCAACGAAGACTTTAGAAATTCCTGACATGGCAATAACAACGTTCTGAGACACAGAGGTTCCAGTAATGGACTGGATCAGCTGAGAAAGGAGGAGAGGCAATTCCAGAGAACCCAATTTTTTAGATACTTCTTTTACTTCCAATCCTGAACATTACTGTGAACAATAGCATGAGCAGAGGTGGGCGACTTTCCCAGGGATGCAACTCATTTCTCCATATCATCTGGAAACCACAGGTAGCATAACCCCATGGAAGGTGAAATCACTGGAAAGGACTTTTTAATGCTTTCTGAGGTTTGAATGAGAATGGGAATAGAAAGTCTCTAGAAAGCAAATCCACTCCTACTTAAGCCCTTAAAACGCCAGTAAAACCCCTAGAACTAAATACTGTACTATTGAAATTGAAGGCTTTAAGGATAGGAGTGGAAGAAACCATCTCCAGTTCCCACTTTTTAAAAGGAAAATTCAGAATTACACTTTCCATAGTGAAAAAAAGGCAACCATTTTCAACAGCTCAGAGTTGAGGTGCTGAAAGGCTGCAGAGGTAATCCCGGGGACACATGTGAATTTCCCACTTCAGTATTGGCAGCAGAATTTTATGGTAAACTGAAACTGAGTCTATTCATGTATAATAATCAATACACATCAACAAATCTGGGAGGGAGATGGGCGGTTTCTAAATTCGATAAATAACGGGTCCTTGGTGCTCTTTGAGCTTGGTTGTTATAAATAACCAACAAATAATCAATCAACACATACAAATCAATCTTACCCGTTTAATAGCAGCCTTAGGGAAAGCTGATCGTCGATACATCTCATATCGATTTAGCTGTTCTTCAGAAAAAGAAGAAACCAGGATTCTGTGGCAAACAATAATTACAGCGCTTATTTAAAATTATAAAGTGAGAAAGTTAGTGAGATTGTGTAACATTCCATTGATAAACACTTGAGTTAAATCTAGCATTTTATTTCAGTGGTGATATTTCCTGAATTTTGCTCTAAACGTTTTAGTTAAAGGACGGTGACTTTGCCCATTTTTCCTAGCCTAGATGCCTTCCAATACAACTTCCCACAATTCACAGAAAACCATTGGGTTTCAGGAAAAAATAGAAAAAAAAAAAGCTAACATATCTCCTATTGCAGTGCTTCTTAAACATGGTTCCCACTTTTAAAAATTATGGAGAACCCCCAAAGAACCTTTTGTATATGTATTTTTACCATATTAAAAATTATGCATCCATAGAATAATTAACTGGAACATATTGCAAATAATATAGTCCTTGAATTATGACCACAATTGGAACTGGAGCTTCTTAGCTAAGTGAGGAAGTTGTAAAGCAATTCACTCTACAAAATCTTTTCTTTTTGGAAAGGGGAAATGCATATATGCAAGTTAATAAAAACAGTCCGAAGAGGAAAGTACAACTTAATGCCAGTTGATAATTACCTATAAGTGATTGACAAAAAAAAAGAAAAAGCTTTGCACTGGTAGTTCAATGGTAGAGTTCTTGCCTGCCATGTGGGAGCCCTGTGTTTGATTCCCAGCCAATGTGGGGAGTTGCCTTTTTTGAGAGAGCTGGTTTGATGTTAGGGTTTCAGGCTAGGAATGAGAGACTATGAATTCTAGTCCCACCTTAGGCAGAAAGCCAGCTGAATGACTTTGGGCTAGTCACTTTCTCTCAGTTCTGAGAAGAGACGATGGCAAACACTTCTGAAAAACCTTGCAAGAAAACTGCAGGGACTTGTCTAGACACTGCAGCTCATACTTGTCTAAGTAATCCCTGAGAATCACACAAAATTGAACAGAAGAAAAAAGAAATGACAAAATACCTGACATCACATTGAATGCTCCCCTAAACCAGGGGTGTCAAACTGCTGACCCATGGGCTGGACGCGTCACGCCAAAACTGCACCCACCCCATTGCCGGCAATGGGAAAAAAGTCACAATATGTCACAACACATCATGTGACGTCGCGAATTTGACATCCGTGCCCTAAACAGTTTCCATAAAGTGTTCAGTAGACAGTCTTAATTTCTAAAAATCCCTGACAGAAAAAAAACATAGTTTGCCTTCCTAAAGACAAAACAGCAGGATACACCTTTTCTCTACTCAATTAGCATTAACAAAAGCATGTAGATGGAGAAATACTCACTGCATTTTTTGAATCTCATCTTCATCAACTTTATGTTTTTTTTCTTTTTTCTCCTTTATCTCTATTTTCTTGGCTGCAATAGATTGTGATGTAGAGTCCTCTAACTCTCCAGCGATCAATTCTTTGCATTTAATCTAGACAGAA